TTTTGACTATTAACCGGTTTTCAATAAATATCTCGGAATCTAAAGATAGCAAAATTTTTGTTATAACCTTTTTTGTAGAACCAATTGAGAGCTACAACAAATGTAATTACAAAAATTTTGCTATCTCCCTCAGAATCCGAAGTATTCCTCAAAAACTCAACGGGAAGATAAGTCGACTTAAACCGTTTTACCACTTCGCTGCTTCGTCATCAAAATGGAATTAGTCATGGCTCAAAAAATTGATAACAATACCCTCTTAATTCTATCAGAATATGACGGGGGTCGCACAATTCGCTGTTGAGTTAGAGTACATTTTTTTTGCGATTTGAAAGAGAAAATCGGGTTTTTCGCGATTACTGAAAGAATCATCAGTAACAGAAATTAAATTAGGGCTTGAAAAGTATATTTCAATGCCTTCTTAATCATGAGCTTTTTATATCAAAATTTCCATCTCGATTTGATTATTAAAAATCTCCAAATCTATCTAGTGACAGTTGGTTTTCTCACCAAATAAAATTGTTCTCCTTTAATATATCTCTCCAGTTAATTAAAAAAGTACTCACAGGTCCAGATTTCCGTCCAGAAGCCACAGTAAAGTCAGGACAGAACAGTAAATCCTGAAGACAATTTAAAAAATCATTTGAAATGCCAATAAATCACAAATGCAGAACTTTATTCCCAAAAAAATAGATTTATCAACGAAAATTGAATGAAAAATGGGCGCTATAATTTCCACTCACACATATGGCATTCAGTAATGAATGTGCCAGTGGCACACTTTCGTCCTCTTCCTCTTTCCCAGGCAAACTTGACCAGAAGAATCCCTTCCAGTCTGAGTCCTCGAAAATATAAGGTAAGAGTCTTGTCAATAATCTGCAGCAGTTGAGAACGGTCTGGTGCTCCCGCTGGGTCCTGCAGCTGTTGTCCACAGCCTTCACCAGCTTCTCCACTGCTTTGTAACATAAAGTTGCTAAATTCGCTGGCGCTTCTTCCCTCAGAACTCTTATTTCAGCTGCTGGAATCAATGTGAAGATGTCTTGGACACACGAGACATTCTCTGACCAGAATTGATCCCAAAAGTTATCGTCACTGGCGTCAATTACCTGGAAAACGAATTGGAGAGTTGAATACTCTAATGACAAACTAAAAATGGAATATTCTCAATGATTTTTCGACAGTAAAGGGAACGAGAGGAAGAATTAATATAAAACTTTAGAGTGAAAAAAGGCATTTCCTATAAACAATAGAATGAAAACTGTACGGATTATTATCATCAATAATAACACTTATGTATAATCGTGTAATGACGTTTTTTTCCGAAATATCAACATTACAGCGAGAAAAAAAATAAAATATTCGGGAGGCACAGTGGTGGGTGGCGTGGCGCTGCAATTTGCTAAGCATCAGTGACAAAGTGTCGTGGAGAAAAAAAAGAAGTTCTGTTCAAAGAATTATCAAGTTTGAGAAGAAATATCAAGAGACCTTTCAAGTCACGAATTTTGTAAACTGCAGAAAAGATCTCTCGATAAACTCATTGAAATAAGAGATATTCACACAATAATCTGCATGAAATTTCCCAACAAAAACGAAAGGAAAGACAATTATTTCGCGAAGAGCTTTGAAGGGAAGAGATTCGAAAATATCGCCATTGAATTTTTTGTGGAAAATTTTATAAATTGCAAAAACCGTAATTAGTGAATTATTGAAAGAATTATGAAGTTTTAGAGGAAATATAAAAACAGCTGTCAGGAATTTTGTACAGTGCAAAAAACTTCTCTTGACATTGTTAAATGATAAACCCAGTAGGTCTGAGATGTTTGCAAAATAATCTCAAATTTCCTTTTCAATTTATCTATTTATTCAAGACAATCATTTAAAAAAATCGATGAACATCTTCATGAGAGAAAGTGACAGATAACTCATATTCTAGACAAAAAAAATGAAATAAAAAATTGAAATCAACGTTGGCTCTAATTTCGCCCCAAAAATTGTACAATTAACTAATCTAAAATTGTCTTTCGTTGAATCTTACTTGAGTTTTCGATGTCAGTTGGACAACAGCCTTCCGAAAGTTGAGTTTAGTATCTGCATTCCCCATCACGAATAATAATTCTCGTCAACTAAATCACTAAATACTTCAACTTTATCCACTAACAAAACTGATTGCACATAAAAAATATCAGCCGGTTGCTTCAATTGTTGTTGACGATATAAAAATGTAAAAAGTCAACAATCGATGTTCGTGGAGACACGTCGTGGCATTGCCATCTGAAATCCGCTCGATATTCCACGGTAAATTTGACGTTTGGCGTCGCAGTGACGTCAGGATATTCGAGAGGTCTAAGGATGCACGGGGAAGTAAAAAAAAATATGGGAGAAAAAAAATACGATGAAATGAGAGCAGAGCGAACAGATGGGCAACTGCGGAGAAAATTTATTTGACATGCAGGGTGCGGGTGCGGGCGCTCGAACCCCTCCTTGTTTAGGAATAAATTACAATTTTGACGGATCTTTATTGCTGGTCGGCAATTCACCGATGGTTATTATTGCAGAAGTAGATTGAATTTGTGGATCTGTCAACATCGAAGAATCGATGTTTTTTAAAATCATCGATATTGCGAATCGATTTTTCTGGAAGAAACATCGATTATAAAAAAATCGATGTTTTTGTCATTAAACTCGAAAAAAAATGTAAAAAAATTTTTTTTCTCGCGTGTTTCTTGAAAAATATATATTAAAAAAAAATCCAACTCACGTTTCAATGATAAATACTGCTGGGGAGTTAATTTTTGAATCTCGAAACAGAATTTGTTGATTAATTGAAAAAAATATTTTGAATATTTTTCGTAGCTGGACGTTAGCTGCAATAATTTTAAAAAAATTATATTTAGTATATTTAGAAAACAACAGACGACTGGACTTGTCTACTTACCATTTATAACATCCGTACTGCAGAAAATAATTACTACTGATTGTTATAAATTATTATTTTTCATTCTCAATCAATCAACATTATTATTCGATAAAAACATGAAAAATTTTGTTAGCTTGGTCAAAAACATCAATGTTTGGAAAAACATCGAAATGCGATTAATCGACCGTTGAAAACATCGAATGCACTAATGAAAAACATCGATGATTGGGCATGAAAAATCGATATTCTCGATTAATCGAATCAAACATCCTTTAATACAGTATGGATGATGTTTTAAAACACATCGATTACCGAAAAATCGAGGTTTTTCAAAAACTTTGATATTGTGAACATAGTTGTGAATCGATTTTTCCGGAAAAAATATCGATCGATTATTTAAAAAATCTATGTTTTTCTCATTACACAGGAAAAGAAATTTTTTTTTTTAAATAATTTTTTTTGACGTGATAAGTTTATGTTTCGTTTTGAGGGGCATTTTGTGCACAGGTAGATATTTACTAACGCCATCTGTTGGCGTATAGGGAAACTAAGTCGGTAAGTACGGAATTCACTTTATTCATTGTCCCATACTCCACTCAGTGTAACAATCTCGCCAGTGTACATGTAAACAAACATTCTCACGCAGTTCTCTCACATTAAAAAGTGTTCCCTTAAGACTGTTCAATTATTTTCGTATTTAATCATGGCCCCGCGTTGTAAAATTCCAGGTTGTTGTGGAGAAACAAATCGTACAGTTTTTCAAGTGCCAAAGGACGTTGATAGACGCGAAAATTGGTTAAAAGCTATCCATCAAGTATTTCCTAACCTGCACATCGACGGAAAATTTCACGTTTGTGAAAAACATTTCAGAAAAACAGATTTCAATTCATGTATAGTTGACAAATCTGGAAGAATTATTCAAGAGGTATGTAATACAGCTTATAAAAAAAGACTCGGAGGAAAAAAAAATTTTTGATTTCGAAACTTATAAAACTCGTTTTTTTCATCAACTTTGGCATAGTTATTTTGCCCCATTACGAACGAATATTTTTTAATGTACACAAGGAAACATTTGATCTGTCTGAATAAATATTTGGAATTATGAAAAAGCATGATCGAAAAGCACCTGCTTATGGTGCTTTTCTTTACTCTGAATTTACACAAATATTGCGTCCACGTTTCTTGGAAACTACTTTTTTTATTCCAATCTCTTCATCGATATTCTCAAGCCATAAAGGAAACCCTATCTACAATGGAACCTGACATTGAAACGCCAATCATTTTATGTGGAGATTTCAACTCCGATATCTGTAGAAACGAATCTCTATTGAATTTCATGAAAGAAGAGTTCAATTTAGAGTGTTGTCAAACTCCCCCAACAACTCTAGGCAATACTCATCTCGATTCAACTTTCACACGTAGTTTAAATATCGAATTATTTCGTTATGTATCATCCTTCTCCTCTCATCGACCTATACTTAATAAACTCAGTTTGAAACATTAATTCGTATCGTTTTTCTAATTTCCTGAGCATCTACGTAATATAGACGTGTCCACGCAAAACTTACGGCTGTATCAGCGATACAGCCAACCAGGAGTTTTCTTATTATTCTCGTATTTACTGAAAAATATATAGATTCAAAAAATGCAACCCGAGGAATTTACGTTCTAATGATAAGTACTGTTGGAGAGTTGAATTTTTAATTGAAAAAAATATATTTAATATTTTCCGTGGCTGGACATTAGCTGCAATAATTGTTAAAAATATAAATTTAAAAAAACAACAGGCAACTGAACTTGTTCACTTATCATTTATAACATACATACTGTAAAAAGTAAGTACTTCTGATTGCAAATAAATTATTATTTTTCATTCTTAATCAATCAACATTATCCACATTATTATTCGATAAAAAATGAACAATTTTGTTAACCGGGTCAAAAACATCGATGTTTGAAAAAACATCGAAAAGCGATTAATCGACCGTTGAAAACATCGAATGCACTAATAATGAAACATCGATGTTTGGGCATGAAAAATCGATGTTTTCGATTAATCGAATCAAACATCGCTCATCCCCAGGTGTTTGTATGAAGCGATTTTGTTGTGAATAAAATACGTTATTGTACGTTTGTTTACGGATCGTCATTATAAAAAAAAAACCTCTCATCATGCCGAAACATTGCGAAATCCCGAATTGTCCTAGAGAGTCACATCAGTCAGTGTTTCGTTTACCTTCTGATCCAAAAACTCGTGGGAAGTGGTTATCTGCAATTCGTAATGCATATCCTAACCTGTCTTTGAGGAAAAATGTTTATATTTGTGAGAGACACTTCAAAAGTACAGATTTCACCGACAGTCTAACTGATAAAATGTATCACATTCTTCAAATGGTTGTCATCAGTGGAAATAAAGAAAATATACATAGGGGCGGATGGGGTAAAATGGATACTTTAGACTTTTTTAAAATTATTCATAACTCAGAAACAAATTTATCAATTGAGCTGAGTTTAGGCTCGTCACAAAGGGAAAGAATTGTTCTTTGTATTGAAAAAAAAAAAATTAAAATTCATCCACATGTTAACCCCTCATTAACATTTGAAAAAAAGTCAAAAACGTCCGTTTTATCCCAACCTCCCCCATATTAGCCCTTCGTTACTCACCCGGTTTTTCAATAATTTTTTCAATGTCATTTTCGGTATAGAGAATAGACATAATAAAGAGAAAAGAAAAAATAGAATTTAATAGTTGGAGGTTTGAAGAATGATATTCGACGTTTCCTATTGAAACATGGGTATTTCAATTTTATTTTAAAACAAGGATATCTCAAAATTCACCCTAAAAATCGTTTGAAATCTCACGTTTTCCTTTTCTTGACAGCTATAAAAATGGATCCATCCAAAAGTACAAACAACATGAAGAAGTTCTCATTGGAAGAGAAATAAAATGATTTGCGAGCTCCATAAGACTTAGAAATGAATGTGAATAACAAGCTTTCACATAAAGTTTGAGATAGGGTAAGCTACCCACTAGCTTACCCTATCTCAAACTAGATGGACGAGCTACTTTTGGATAGGAAATTACGCAAAAAAATACTGAAATGTGAATTGTTGCTTTGAATTTTTCATTTGATTTTTTAGATAAGAAGAAAAGAAAAATAGAATGAAAAAAGCTTAGAAAATTTGAGTCGAGCAAATTCTATAGAAAATATATGTAAAGGATAAGTTATATAGAAAAATCGAATTCTGACTTTTTCTATTGAATGTTTTCTATCGAACATGTCAATGGAATCAGTCAAAAACTAATAGGAAGTTTAATAGAAATTCAATAGAATTTTCTAACGAATTCGACAGGTTTTTCTATTAAATTCTTTCGTGCGTGTGCCTACACTCCCCGTGAGGATCGAAGGGTTAATTGAGTAACAAGACAGGAAAAAAAATCTTTAAATTATATAATTTCACTTCTGCAGGATTCACTAAGAACGAGAAAACGCCTTAAATTGGGAGTTGTACCTTGCGTCATGGACTCCCAGTCCCCTGAAGTCTGGGTCCAAACAAACACAATCAATGACCCATTTCGATCGCTGACTGATTCTAGTGGAAGAGATGAATCAGAATTGAGACCGTCTTCCCCGGTACAGGATGCGACAATAACCCCAGTCACGAGGCGGTGCGAAATCCCGAAGTGTTCTACAGGTTCACATCAGCCAGTATTTCGTTTACCTTCTGATCCAAAAACTCGTGAGAGGTGGTTATCTGCAATTCGTAATGCATATCCTAATCTGTCTTTGAGGAAAAATATTTATATTTGTGAAAGACACTTCAAAAGTACAGATTTCATCAATAATCCAGCTGACAAAACCGATAACATTCTTCAAAAGGTAAATAGTTATCATCATTAGAAAAAAAAATTCTTCGAGGCCCGGGTGGATGATCTTTCGAACGTTATCTCGATTGTTTTTCCATCTTCATAATTACATTATATTAATCCGATAAAATTGTCCATCACCGATTTTTATTCTTTGCTTTAGATCACGCAGGAGTCCCTAAAAATTATGATTGTAAAATCATAAAAAGTAGAAAAAAACTGAACATTTTCAAAGAGAATTTATTTACAAACAAACGAAGAAAGAAAAATAGAATATCCATTAGTTTAACAACTGTTATTATAGAAATATTAGGTGTGTGAATATGACTCCGCCCTTTCCCAACAGATGTCGTTTTTAGTATTGCTTACGTGCACTAATAAATCGCAGCACTTGTATTCGATAGTACTTTATGTCAGCTGTCAAACGCACTACGTGACATTTGGTTGAAATGTAAGCAACAAATGTTTTTATCTCCGTGACAATGTCGGTTTTCGTTCCAAGTAAACATCATTTGTGGGAAGTGTTATTACACTATTATATTGCAAAGAAAAGTGTAGCGGAAACTCATCGTTTGCTTGTGGAGATTTACGGTGAGCATGCTCCATGTAATACAACTTGCAAGGACTGGTTTCGACGATTTCAAAATAATGATTTTGGCACTGAGGACAGAGAACATGGAAAACCACCATTGGTATGAGAAACAATAAATTATTCCATAGTGTAAATGCCATCATGGGAAAATTGAACAGTACGAAAGGAGGACAATGGAGAAGAATAATCTTAGAAATAACAAATAACTTACTATTTCAACAAATGAAAATAACGATAGAAATAATAACGGAAATCGGTGTAGAAAAAAATATAGGAAATTTTCCGCGAAAGATTCCCAGGGGAATTTATCATCGAACCATTGCGACAGATCCTTTTGGAAGCTTATTACCAATGAAATTGGTAGAAAAAGAAAGAATCCAAAAGACTAATAGCGAGTTCAATAACGGTCTGTCGCTTCTAGACATGAATGAATCAAGATAATGAATAAAGGAATTTTAAATTTCATAAATTTTTCGCGTCTAGAGTTGAAGTTTATTTGTTAATATCTCTCCCAAGTCGAATTTCTTCCTAGAAAAAATACCCATACGATTCTGTTGGAAAATGCCTGTTGAAAATTCTTTCAACTTTTTGAATAGCATCAACTGTTTCGAGTCTTCATTTTAGTCCACCTTATATGAATTTATCAGGTGTCCAGATTGCCCTGCAACAATTTTAATGAATTTAAATTTTGAAAAAAAAAATTTTTTTGTAAATTCTTTGAGTGTCTATTTTACCCCAGATGTCCATATTGCCCCATCCTCCCCTATAACTTAATTTTTCCCTTTATCTATCTCTTCGATCCGACAGAAATTGATTCCTGTCATGAATGACGACTTAACAACCATAAGATATATCAAATTATTAATTTACAATTTCCTTCCGTATTGGGTTTATTTCCCAATATTATTAAAAAACGCTCTTTGAAAATGTTCAGCTTTTTTTCGAATAGCGATTGGAGATCATTCCAGTTTATCAAAATGAAAAAAAAAACAACCAAGATCACGTTGGAAAGATAATCCACCCGGGCCTTCAATTATATAATATCATCTCTGCAGGATTCAGCACAAACGAGAAGACGTCTTAGATTGGGAGTTGTACCTTGCTTCATGGATTCTCAGGCACCTAAAATCTTCTCTAGTGGACGAGACAAATCAACGACCGAAGTTAACCATTGGATACACTGCGACTGCTATTTTGATGAGACCTTCAATGAGAATCATTTTGGCTCAGCATGTGATGTATGTGATCGCCTGTGGTTTACTAGAGATCTAAAAGTGGGGACCGTACAGCAAGTCGAAGTTCTCTCATTCTCATCTTTTCCAACAGAAGCGGAAAATGTGTGCGGCTTTTTCGGAATTTTTTTATAAATCTTCACGAAGCAAGTAGCCCATCCCATAGGTGTAAATCGAGTATAGTTTTTTATAAATAAAAAACTATCGAAAATATTAGGTGTATACACCTAATATTATATGGGAGTTATAACTCCCAGTTAAAATTAAATATTAGGTGTATAACTTAATCTTTCCTTTTTAAATATTAGGTGTATAACTTAATCTTTCCTTTTTTTATTTATTTAAAATTTAAATATTTAGAATTTAAATTTGAATATTTACGTGCCCGTTTGCGATTTTGAAGAGTGGACCTTACAGTTTTTAATACGCTATAGTCATGTCCGTAAGAGCTGTATAACTTTCCAAAACAGTAATATATGGTAGTAATGGCGACAGTAGCTAACAGTAGTAATGGCGACCAATACGCAGCACATTCGTCACTGTATTCTCTACGAGTTTCAACAAGGAAAAAAAGCCATTGAAGCCTGCGATTCGATTTGTTCTACTCTCGGTAGTAATATTGTGTCTTATGATACATGTAAATATTGGTATAAACGCTTTAAAAATAAAGATTTCGATCTCAATGACCGAGAACGTCCTGGACAGCCTCTGAAATTTGAAGATGTTAAATTGAAAGAATTACTCGACAAGGACTCAACGCAGACCCAAAAAGAGCTTGCAGCTCAGCTAGGAGTTACTCAAGCAGCAGTTTCTAAACGATTACGCGCGATGAGAAAAACACGAAAGGTAGGAAGATGGGTTGCACACGAACTGACCGAACATAACCTCAGTCAACGCATGAACATGTGTCCTTCGCTGTTCACCTACATGTTTTTTTGCGATGGTATTCATATGTTGTCCGATCGATGGCGCAAGGTCATCGAAAACGATGGAGGATATTTCCAGGATTGATCTAGTATTTATATATTTCATAAAAAGGGAAAAATTAAGTTATAGGGGAGGGTGGGGTGGACACTTGGGGTAAAATAGACACTCAAAGAATTTACAAAAAAAAATTTTTTTTCAAAATTTAAATTCATTAAAATTGTTTCATTGGGAAATCTGGACACCTGATAAATTCATATAAGATTAAAATAAAGACTAAAATAAAGACTCGAAAAAGTTGATCCTATTCAAAAAGTAAAAAAAAAATTCAACAGGCATTTTCCAACAGAATCGTATGGGTATTTTTTATAGGAAGAAATTCGAGTTGGAAGAGATATTAACAAATAAACTTCAACTCTATTAAATTTTATATTGCAATTTGAAAGATAGAGTAGCTTTGGATTTCCTGTTCTACTATTGAAATAACTTTGAAATTATTTTTTCGATGAACAATTGCACGCACTATACAACTGACCTTTTGTCCATTTGCAAAATTTGTAAGATATCTACTTTTCTACTCACAAACGGAACAATGGGGGAGGGGAGAATAAATGAGCAAAGAAAAATTTGGTTTACCACCCCCCTCAATGAAAATGAAAAATTAGTTTTTTTTTTCAATTTGAAAATCGCAGTCATGACCAGTGTTTCTGAAATTGAATAATATTGTTGAAACATAAGAAATTGAGGAAGAAATCAAGATGTCCACTTTACTCCATTTTTGCTTTACTTTGCAACTCCTACGACGCAGTCTTATGACAATGTGTTTGTTTTTATAATCATTAGATGAACTCGAAACAGTAGATTTGATCAAATTCAATTCTTTATTTAAATCTGGTGTCCATATTGCCCCACCCTCCCCAACACCTAATAGAGTGAAGGAAAATAATACGAAAGAACAATGTTCTTATCTCTATTTTTTCGTGTTGTGCCCAAAAAGGTCTCTTCAAAAATTTCGTTATCGCTCTTGGATTCCGAGACATCCATCAAAAACTCATCTGAAGTGTAGTTGACTCACCTCCTCATTTTTTAATTCCCTTTTATTGCAGATGGATAGAACAGAAAGATTGAAACGCCGCAACAGTGCGGCTACTGAAACGAAGCCTGTAAAGAGGCGCGAGGGCCGCAAAAGTACCGCGGGGTTGCAGCTGGAACCTATTTTTGTGGATTGTCAGGATCCGATCGGGGCGAAGATCCCGAAGAAGGAGAGCCATGTGTGTCCCAGGTAACGAATTTAGAGTAAGATCATGAGGCAGACGTTTGTGCAGAGAACTTGATCCAATAAGTGAACCTGAATATTTGTCAGCCACAAAAATGGTTTCTTGCCATTTTTCTGTAAACCTGATAGTTTCCGAGATATTGCCCAAATTCTAACGATGAAAAGAATTCCATAATAAAGAAATCAAGTTTCCGGAAGTTTAAACAATTTTCGGTATTAATGTATAAGAAGGAGATATTTGAAAAAAAAAACTGATACGTTGGAAAATGTAATTTGGATGATGCTGATTATGAATGAATTTTTTCAGATTTTTCTCCTGCAATTAAATTAAAGAATGTAATGATTGAAAATGTTGAAATTTATACTGGAATCATCTTGAGAGTATTTGCTTTTTGAATTCGCCCGGGGAATTTCACATCAATTAGAAGAACCGTTCGCGAGATAACCCAATTCTCATTATTGGATATGGGACATATATATATTATAAATAAATACGAAATGCAGTGGATTGAACTGTAGCTTCTTTTCTTCATTCAACCCCTCACGTACAGTTATTCACACGTACGTTATTCAATGAACGATAACTTGAAAACAGTAGAACGAACAAAATTGAAATAAAATACATTGGCTGTATTGAACTTTGAAATAAACTGCCAAAGATTTTCCTAATTTTTTACACCAATTTCAATGTTTGTCGATAATTGATTGCCGAGATCTTCGAACATGCTAAGTTCATTTATAACAAACAAATTATTCAACAAATCAAAATTTAACTTCTGCCATTCGATAGAAGGATCATCGAAGTATTTTCAGTAAAAATTTCAAAATTTTTGGGGGAAATTTTGTCGATAAACGAGATGATTTAATATGATTGAATCGGTTGGATGTAAGATTTTCATCTACAACTTTTGTTCATAGAAAAAAATATTGTAGATGCATGAAAAAAAATAAAATAAAATAGTTCACTGCAGAGACAATTTCATTAACTTTCTAAATATCTTTTCAAATTGCAATATGTCTCTCAGAGTTCGAGAAAATGATTTTTTACTGTTTACGTGAGGGATTAAATCGCACGAGGAAGAAACGTCTACTCTCTACGAATTTCTCCAGGAAACTAAATGCTGGTCACAAAGACCAAAAGAATATTCGTCACCTAATGAAAGAATTCTCTATTTTTTCTCCCTACAAAATCATTATTTATGTTTATGTAAACTCTCAGATGACTGGTGCCCTCCACGTCGATTCGTTTTGGTAACCGTCATTTCTTAATTAAATGGAAGAATTCTTCATAGAGAATTTGCCTCAATAATCCAACAGTCATTTTTGAAATTTTCCAATTCCTCATTGGAAACTGCGATGTTGTCATAAGAAAGATGACAGAATCTTGAAACTTTGTGAACCACAATCCTTTGATGTTATATGAATACAGTTTGAGTATAGAAAATTCTCGAAAACTAGTTTCCTAAAGGCCAAAACTCAAGTGTACCCTTTATTTTACAGTGACCAGATTGAAAGTCGATCCCTCAACCAGCAAGAATTTCAGGAGCTGCCCTACGATGGGAAATCGAGTCCAGGATTAACGATTAAGGAAGAACTCGTGGGCGTACCAGAGAGCTCCTACGATCGGGGCTCGAGTCCAGGAGTAATGATTAAGGAAGAGCACGTGGACGTACCAGAAAGCTCCTACGATGGGAGCTCGAGTCCAGGAGTAATGATTAAGGAAGAGCACGTGGACGTACCAGAAAGCTCCTACGATGGGAGCTCGAGTCCAGGAGTAATGATTAAGGAAGAGCACGTGGACGTACCAGAAGACAAGGAAAATTATGATTTTTAACTAATAATTCAAATGAAATGTTATTCTTTGATTATAATATCTCTTCTCTATATAAATAAAAAAATAAGGCGAAAAATTCAGGGGACGCTCAAGTTCAGGGGACGCTTAAATTCAGGGGACGCTCAAATTCAGGGGCCTCTTAACCCATTGCGCCACCAAGCTCACGAAAAGTATCAGTGTGATAGTGGTGGGGGACTAACCAACGAAAACGCGCAACATGGCTGTGTGCGACTGCGGCCGAGTGTTGGTGCGTTGATAAGTTCCTCACCACACCGAGTGTCAGGCCCGTATCCACCTTTTCACTGCGACGGGCGTATGGCTGTTTTTTGTGTTCCATAATTGTTTTTCCTTCAAAACTCATTTCTACTCTATTATTTATTTCTTTTGTGAATTGATTCGTGATCAAGAGTTATGTGAACAAACCAGGAAGTTGGAAATCTAGTTTTAAGGTTACGTTAGGTAAGTCTGTTGACATGGTTTGAGATTTCTGTCTTTCGTTTGCTTCTTCCAAATAGAAAATTGAACTACAAATCAACCAAATACCATAGTCAAACTCTCAAATTGTATATGTATTGGATATTGTATTTTTTTTATTATTCCGAGACATGGAAAACGGTGCAACATTGATACTATATTCTTTCTCTCGCTCAGTTCATCTCTTCCCCTTTANATTTGCTTCGTCCAAATAGAAAATTGAACTACAAATCAACCAAATACCATAGTCAAACTCTCAAATTGTATATGTATTGGATATTGTATTTTTTTTATTATTCCGAGACATGGAAAACGGTGGAAACATTGATACTATATTCTTTCTCTCGCTCAGTTCATCTCTTCCCCTTTATTATTATCAAATTGATTCCCAATTATTCTTTATCTGATTATTGAATATTTCATATTTTTGTCCATGTGGAGATAGTCAAAACGCTGAAAACGTTAACGTGGTTTTTGTCCCTTGTACGGTTGTTTTTTTCTCAAAATTATTAAATTATCATAATTTCAGATGATGGAAAAAAGAATAATTTCTATTTTTTTTCGCTCATAAGCATAATATTAATTGTAAATTATTGTTCTGCAGTTGAGTTTAGTCATTCCATTCTTAGATTTTCCTACTGATTCATAGAAAAGAAATCACTTTTGTCAATTTCGTTTTGCAAAATTAAATTTTGATGATCCCAAATACTGAGGTAACGTATTTTTTTATTGTTGTATTCAGTGACTTTATTGTAAACTACAAAATACATGCAATAAAAAAAATTATAAAATTACGTTTTCCCGTTTTTCTCTCTCAACGCTAGCGCCCATGATTTTTGAACGGTACCGCACGTACGTGCCTGGGCGCACCATCCCCACCTCTGACGCTCCGCGCGGAGCTATAGAGTAGATCCGATCAATTAGCCCCTCATGTTTAGATATTCCAAATTTTTATTTTTTTCCTCATTGAAGTAGTTTTGAAGAAAATTGCGAGCTAATAAAAAACATTTGCTAGTTGGTACTTTTTTAAAAATAAAATTTAAAAAATCACCTCTAAAAAAAGGCGTTATCCCCTCTATTTCATTATTTCCAAAAAAATTTATCACCAATCGATAGCAAATTCTTTGAAGATTTTTGCGAGTTAAGAAAAAATCGTCAATGCAATCCTATTATTGTGGAAATTAACAATTCCAATTTCAACTGAAAACCAGAGTTGATGAGCAGAGTTTGTAACAGAGATGTCCGACAAGATATGAATGTTTTTTTGGCTCAAATGAAAGAGTGGCTCGAAAAATGGCGTGCAGAAGTCTTTAAAGATGACAAATGTCTCTAAAGATGATGTCTGTTTTCAACTGAAAAGCGCAATTGTGACAACATTGTCCAGTGGGGTCTAGGAGTCTCCCGTGGTTCAAAACCATCTTTAGAGGCCTTAGCACGCCATTTCTCGACCCGCTCTTTCATTTGAGCCCAAAAAAACATTCATATCTTGTCTGACATCGCTGCTACAAACTCGGGTCTTCAACTCGGGGTTTCAATTGAAGGCGAGTTGTAATTTTTCAAAAATTTATTTTAAAAAAAGTACCAACTAGCAAATGTTTTTTATTAGCTCGCAATTGTCTTCAAAACTACTTCAATGAGGAAAAAAATAAAAATTTGGAATATCTATACATGAGGGGCTAATTGATCGGATCTTATAGAGTGGGGACAGCCGATGGTGGCGCAATGGGTTAAATTCAGGGGACGCTGGGTTCATTTACGGGGGTTCCTATACCCCCCTCTCCTTCACCCAGCTTAGGTACTATGAATGAGGTAATCATGAGTGAATACCAAAACTAGGAATATCAAATTTTAAGGCAAATTTTATTTCGACTGTCAGCATTCATTAAGAGATTTTAGGTGTTTTTTTTTATTATTTCAGTTTTTGCAAAATTAAAAAATAATTATACTTAGAACAACAAATAATTATAATGCATCATGCAATAATGCATGACGAAAAAACCTAATGCGTTTGGTAGAAAATTTAATTAGATTCTTACTGAACTTGTGTTGAAATATTATTTCTGTAGAAATTCCTTGGCTCGATTTTTTTTCAAGTTTTTTTGCTTGAATTTTTTTTCTGAGAGAATCGGCGGAAAAGTAATGGAATTTCCATCATCAAGCAACAATCCTAGGCTTTCCTATAATTTTTTTCCTACATGTTATCATCAAATCGACAAGAATTGAAACATCAATTTTATTGTTTGTTTTGCACCAATCGAACCTGTCAAAACTCCCATAAAAAATCTCCCACTAAAATTCCAAGTTATGGAATAAACTGAGGTAAAACTGACCTGTTTGTTATCAGTGGACGTAATAATAAAGTATACGGTCACTGAATGTATAACCGACTTCCAACATTTTCCACACTTTCGGAGCGTATTATTTAGCTATTCATGTAGTACGTCCAACATCGATTGACTTGTTTTCTTTTATTTTGGAAAAATATCTTTCGACGATTAAAATCATTCGAAGTAAATAAGGATTATCTTCTAACTTTTATTGAATATTTCTGTTCACACACTCGTGATGTTCCAAAATCAACGTGGGGTTCTTTCGAAATTTCGGAAAACAAAAGACAAGAGAATTCTTATCTCTATGGCGGTGGTTACAGCAGCTGCCGTAAGTTAATTTATTACAATTCTTATTAGGAGAGGGTGGGGTAAAATGGACACTTTCGACTTTTTTTCAATTGTTCATAACTCAGAAACAAATTTATCAATTGAGCTCAGTTTAGGCTCATCACAAAAGGAAAGAATTGTTCTTTGTATTGAAAAAAAAATTATTAAATTTCATTAACATTTCAACCCCTCATTAACATTTTAAAAAAAGTCAAAAGTGACCATTTAACCCCAACCTCCCCTGTAAGTTATTTATTTTACATTATTATTAATTTCCCATATTCTTCAAACGATGGAGAATAACTTCTGCCACCTTAAACGTTTTCCCTTATACGAATGTGACTTTACACAGAGGAAAAAAAATATTTTTGCCAAATATCCATTTACGTGAGAGAAGTATTTATTTTTTCAATACCGTATTTCTACATTCGAGTCATTCTCAGGCAAGCCTCATTAGGTTTCAATTATGTCAATTCAGTAGCGAAGTGGTAAACCGGTTTAAGTCGACTTATCTCCCATTTGAGTTTTTGAGGAATATTTCCAAATCTAGCGGAGATAACAGAATTTTCATAATTACATTTGTTGTAACTCTCAATCGGCTGTACAAAAACGGCTATAACAAAAATTTTGCTATCTCCCTTAGATTCCGAGATATTTATTGAAAACTGGTCAATAGTCAAAATTGACTTATACCGTTCTACCACTTCGCTACTGAATTATATTGCTCAGGTAGGCTCGGATCGCTAGTCATAAAATCATTAACTGCCCCAATTGCAGGGGTCCCAACCCAATTAGAAGGGTCTCCGTAACCAGCGGTGGTAGGGGTACCGTTGGGAGGGAGTGCATGCAAACCATTTGAATGCAAGTACACTGTATTCGTAACTTTATTATTTTTAAAGAGTCTAGAGTCTAGAAGATGATCATGTTAGTTTTAAGATCTTGAGTGCACTCCTTTAATAATTATCAACATTAAAAAATTGCTCGATATTCTTCTCTCTAGAAAATAAGAAATTTAGAAAAAATGAATGATCATTACAGGAGTTCATCCAAGGTCATGGGCACCATAGTCATCCTCCAGAGCAACATAATACGATTTTGAAAAAATAAATGCTTCTCTCAAGTAAATGAATATTTGGAAAAAAATTTTTTTTTCTGAATGTAGAATTCGAGCCGAAGGCGAGGATCATAATCACAGGAGTCAGATAATACTTTTGTCTCCGTGTGATATAAAATATTATTAGTAGTCTCATCTACCTACTCCAAAATCCTATTCAACAACATCCTGTGACGTCACAACACGTGGAACACTATGTAAAGTCCCGTCTTTAGTGAAATGGACAGTTCAGACCGGGATTTGAACCCGGGACCTTCCGATTATGCATCGGGTGCTCTCCCAACTGGGCTATCCGCCTCCTAGCCACTTCTTCATTTCAAATTTCTTGTACCTTTTGAGCTCTTTTCTGGCAAATATTATTTTACAATCATATGAGCTAAAGAATTTTTTTTCGGCCATGTGACGAACGATATTTTTTGTCATGACGGCCGTAGGCAGGAATTTACTCACGCGCAGCGTGTAGAGAACTAATTTGGAGCGGTCGGAGATAATTTTGACCTACAGAAACGGATTCCTGAGGAAAAAATTTTAAAAGTACTATTTTTCGCATAATTTTTCCTCGAAAAACGAAAAAGTTTTTCTTCCCAGGATGAACCTCCTCTCAAATAAAGAATTTGTTGGTAGATTTCCCTTCAATTACTTTCACTGCCAGCTGCAGATTATGAAGAAGAGAGCGATAAGAGCTGTGAATCGGGTCCTTTTAGGAAGGGTCTGTTAGAATGTGTGGTGAAGCTGAACCGCCGGGATGATCTGTGCCCCATGGAGGTCCTTGACTGGGTAATAATGAAATAGTATATTTCTTCATTAGGCCGAAAAAAACTTTTCTGGCGAACATCAGTTTGCAGCCCGCGCCGAAGAAGGCGAGGGCTGCAATCATATGAGCACATTAAATCATACGTACATTAAATCATTACTAATCCTACATCAATTTTTCACTTATAGTTTTTACCAGACAAAAAGTTGGACAAAAATAAAATGATGAAAGATGTTGAACGCCATCTCAAAAATCCCAAGTATGCGGAAAAAACTAGGAAGATCTTTTCGGAATGTATTGAAACAGGTAAATAACAAAGATTAAAGATAACAGGAAAAGCAAAATTTATTCTGGCGGACCTATGTCTGCAGAAATGCCTCAGCAGGATTTTTTAAGGAATTTTTCTAAAGTTTCTTTTCCCCTTTTCTTCAATTTAATTTAGATTTTATCAATCATTATTGACGCATTCCTCGATTTTTCAATTCTTTTCTTCAATGAGATGAAAATACCAGATTATTTCGTCGTACTCTGCACTCACTTATTCTTGTGTACTGACTTTAACCATTTTTCAATGTTCCATTCCATAGCAAACGCAGCAGGTCGATCAGAAAGAGCAGTAGCTAATACATTCGTGCACTGTTGGCTACAGGCAGGTGGCTCAGAATTATCCAAGAAAGCATTTTGTCGTGAATGAAACACAGGGTTGAATTGGAGATAATTGTAATAAAATATTTTCCAATAAAAACGAAACAAATTATGATTTTTTCATTTCCGTACACGAAGAGATTTCTCGGCAAAATTTAGTGCATCCGCTAGAAAATCCTATTGTATTTATATTTGACTTCTCTTAAGGATTTATTACACCCTTTTCGCTAAAATTCACGTTTTTTGAACTTTTCTGGTAAATTGTTGATCGGATTGACGTGAAAAAATATACCGTTTTTGAGTTTTATCATTACTTAATAACTCACGAAATTTCACGATCGTGCAATCATTTTCGTGCGTTTTTTCTAAAACTTTTCGGAAATTCACAAAACTTTAGAAAAAATGCAGGAAAATGATTGCACTACCATGAAACTTCGTGAGTCAGTCAATAATAATAAAACGCAAAAAAGATATATTATTTCGCGTCAATCCGATCAATAATTTGTCAGAAAAATGAAAAAAACGTGAATTTTGACCGAAAGGGTGTAATACATCCTTAAGCCGAGGAAATTCTATAGAAAATATCTGAAGAGAATAAGTTACATAAAAAAATCGAATTCTATTGACTTTTTCTATTGAATAGTTTCCATTGAACATTCCCTTAGAATCGGCTAACAACTAATAGAGAATTCAATAGAAATCCAATAGAATTCTCTAGGTTTTCTATTAAATTTTTTCGTGCGTGGCACAAAGTGCAATAAAATTCCAGCATAGATCCCCCCGAATGTGAACATTGTCCAAAGGAAAATGATTCCATCCCGTGAAAATAACAAAATCAACGGCATAAAATTTGAAATCTCACCTGCGCAGGTGTACAAACACTTTACATTACCAACGGAACAGCGAAAACTCCCGAAGAAAATCATTTCACCACACCTGTCCACGTGGTTTCACTTCCCAAATGAAAATTCTATTCCCTCTAATGAGTCCGTGAATTCCAAAGTAGTTCAAGTTAGTTCAAGTATATCAACACTTGCTCTTAGTCCGCCGTCGGAGAATAATCTTCTCAAAAATCCTGGTGTAATCGTAGAGTAAACATGGCCGATGGGACGAAAAGTTACATGTGGTTTCCGGTGCTAATTGCTCTGTTTTACACCATTTACACAAATGATGTTTACAGAGATATAGCGCATAAAGTATTTACGGGCGATGTATCCGGTGCTTATGAAGCCTATTCCAAGTATTCTGAGAGTGAAAACGTCGCGGGAGTTGATGAACGCGTGGGAAAGAGTGATAAAAAGGGAGGGAATTCGGTAATTTATAGTGAAGAAGAATTGGCGAAATTTTCAAATCTCAAGGACGGACTTTATTTGGCGATTTTGGGACGGGTTTATGATGTCACTGAGGGGGCGAAACATTACGCACCTGGAGGAGGGTATCATGGATTCATCGGTAATTATTGTTTTATTTTTAATGTTTTTTTCAAGCAAAAATTAATGGAAAATCTAGCGAATTTGTTAGATAATTCTATTCGATTTCTATTGAACTTTCTATTAGGTTTTGGCCAACTCTATTGAAATGTTGGATAGAAAATATATTTGCGACTTTGTTGTTTTATGTTTTTACAACTTTTATTGAGATATTTTCTATAGAATTTCCTCAAATTTTCCAAGTTTTTTTCATTCTATTTTTTTCTTTCCATCAAGAAAGTCAAATAAATAAACTTGGCGAAAATTTGAGCCGAAGAAATTGTATAGAAAATATCTCAATAGAATAAATTGTATAGGAGAATCGAATTTCATTGACTTTTTTTCTATTGAATATTTTCAATTGAGTATTTTCTATTGAACATTTAATAGAAATCCAATAGAATTGTCTAGCGAATTCATGTGAATATCTGTTGATTGGACTTTCGCTGGAGGAATGAATTTTTTTTTTTTTTGAAAATGTCAGGACAACTTGTTTATTGCGAAGACACGCATAAAAAATTTAATGGAAAAACTTAGAGCTTGCTCTAAAAACTTCTATTGAATTTCTATTGGAACTCTATCAGAATTGTGTTGAGGTTCTATTAGAATTCTATTAAAACTTTCTATTTGTTTTTTGCCCCATTTCTATAGAAATGGAACATTTGTTTTATTTTTAATGTTTTTTTACACAAACATTTAATTGAAAAACCTAGCGAATTCGTTGGACAATTCTATTGGATTTCCGCGGCTCAAATTTTCCATGTTTTTTTCATTCCATTTTTCTTTTCTTTTCATCAAAAAAATCAAACAAAAAAGTTGAAAAATTTGAGTGGAAGAAATCCTATAGAAAAGATCTCAATAGAATAAGTTGTACAGGAAAATCGACTTCTATTGAATTCTTCTATTGAGTATTTTCTATTGAACATTTAATAGAAGTCCAATAGAATTGTCTAGCAAATTGGCTAGGTTCTTCCATGACATTTTTTCATGCGTGTATTTCTGCTGATTGCGCATTCATCGGAGGAATGAAACATTTTCGGGAAAATGTCAGGACAACTTGTTTGCTGTGAAGATATTTTGAACAAACAATGTCTATTGATAAATTCTCTTAAAATCATTCCTTATAGAGATAATTTGATGCAGAACACCATAGGAATTCAATCGTCTTTCCTTTTTGTGGTTAATTTAATCATTTCATCGATGATTTGACGATGTCATTTCACGATTTTTGTAATTTAGTGTCTTTGTTAATTGTGAATTTATCAAAGGAATGAGGAGTTTGAGAAACAATTTCACGAGAGAATTTTCGTAAGAGAAGAATTTCTGCGTAGAAAAAAATTTATTCTCTTATAAATGTAGGTTTCCTTCTGGAATCATCCGTTATGATTGAATATTCTAGTTTCTAGAAGAATAAGAGAATGAAGTTTTCCATTTTATGTGATTTGTTCTCGTTTCACGAATTTCTTCTTCATTTTCTCTTGCAATACGAAATTGCTCGCATTCAATACATTCCTGTTGACAGCGCATTTATTGCAAGAATTTCGTAATTTCGTAATTTCGTAGGTGAAGAAATTTAGAATTGAGAATATCTATTAAAAATTTCATTTAGAACCGTTGGTTATACCAGTAACCAACAAGTTTAATGTAAAAACCGATAGAAAAAATTGACCTTGTAGCTGATTTAACGATTTAATTTCCATTTTTTCCCCGCGGAATGAGTAATTGAAAATCTTTGTGAATTATAGATTTAACAAAAGAATGAAGAGTTTTAGAAACAATTTCGAGGGAGATTTTTTGTAACAGAAGAAATTTGTTTCTGCTTTTTCTTCTAGAATCATCAGTTATGATTGAATGCTCTAGTCTCTAGAACAATGAGGTTTTCCATTTATTTTTTATTTTTTTATATTTATTTTTCATACGAAATGGCTCGAATGCGATACATTTCTGTTGATAGCGCATTTATCGCAAGAATTTCGTAATTCTGTAATTACGTAGGTGAAGAAATTTAGAATTATGGATTTAACAAAAAAATGAGGAGTTTTAGAAACAATTTCAAGGGAGAATTTTTGTAAGAAAAGAAATTTGTTTCTGCTTTTTCTTCTAGAATCATCCGTTATGATTGAATGCTCTTGGCTTTAAGAGAATGAGGTTTTTCTTTTCATGTGAATTTCGTTCTCGTTTCACAAATGTCTTCTTCAATTCTTTAGCGATACGAATTGGCTCGAATGCGATACATTTTTGTTGATTGCGCATTTAACGCAGGAATTTCTCAATTCCACAATTTCGTAGGAAAAGCCACTTACAATGGAAAACGTGATATAAAAAATGGATTTGTTTTATTATCGACGCGGACGATTTTTTTTTGAGAGATCGGAGTTCAATTATTTTTTACATTTTGTAGTTGATAAATAGGAAAAATAGGGAAAGAAAATTTCTTCTACACTTCTTCTAGAATCATCCGTTACGATTGAATATTCAACAAGATAAAAAATTTACTTTTTAGGTTTAATCACTTCATTTAAAAATTTACTCGTCTCTAGGAGAATGAGAATTTCTCAAATTTGAATTATTGTTGACGTGAACTCAAGAACAGGATGGGATTTGATGACATATCAATATCGTCTTTTCCCATCAATGATTTTTCATCTATTTTTCTTCCTCCTTTGAAACTTCTGTCATTAGCGAAGCAGTAAAACGAGATGAGTGAAGTTTTTAAGACACTTCTGAGAGGTGAAGGGCTATGAAGCAATTAGTATGGACCGTTCCTATTTATTGCTCTTACCTCATTCTACAAAGAAGGTTCCCGTGAAGATCGTTCAAGTTCCGTTAGATTTAAATGGGGGATCTTTGATGTTTTGTTTCCTCCCGAGAGAGACAGTTATGATGAAATTTCGATTTATATTTCGAGCTACATTCAGAAATTTGGGAATTTTTAATAAGAGTTAATTTTCTTGTTGTTTTTATTGATATGCAATGGAACCTTACGGTTCATTCTGCGTTAATACATGTGTGTGAGTGAAAATTACAAAAAGAAAATTTAAGAAAATACAAAAAAAACAGCGATAAATTAATAATAATAACAATAATAACAGAAGAGTTATATTCACATATTTTGATAGTTTTTACGTGGATTAGGACTCGATATAAACCTAGACTAGATGTAAGAGTATTAGATTCTGAGCTTTGTGCATTCGAGAAACTCATTTTCTTGTTTTATAAAAAAATACCGTTATGTTAGAGCAGTTCTTCATATCGATTGCCGTAATAAAATAGATAGAGAAGAACGAAAAGGCAATGTTTCTCCAATTCTAGAATTTTCACGCACGGAAACATTCACTAGAGAGCCTAGCGAATTATTAGAAGATTCGATTGAAATTTTATTAGTTTTTCGCTAATTTCAGTGCAAACTTCCGCAAATTTTTTACGCGCTTTTTTCAATAGACAATGTTCATAGGAAATTATTTTTCAGAAAAAAAAAAACAGTAGAATTTGATCTTTTTATGAAATTTATTCTAGTGAGACATTTTCTATGAAAATTCCTCAGCCTGAATTTTTAATTCAGTTTCCTCGAAAAAAATTTTGGAGTAGTTATATACTCTAATTACCAGTATTTTCAATTGAATATTCCTACTGAAAAACCGCGTTAAAAAGCAGATAAATTTTCAAATCCAATCAAATAGAATCGGAATAATATAAATTTTTATAGAAGTCCAACAGAATTTTCTGGCGAACGCGCCAGTTTTTCCTACTGAATTTGTTTACGAGGCCGAATACTCGAGTCAGCAAAAAAATAAATACTGAACAGTAATTGCAGAAAAACTACAGCGCATGAATTATTATCCGTGAAGTTTCTCATAGCCCCCGAAAAGTTGTAATGATTGATTCAATGAATCCTATTTTTATGGCAGGAAAAGACGCAACTTTGGCCTTTATCACTGGTGAATTCAACGAGGAGAATCTCAGCGATGATGTTTCTACTTTGACCAACTCCCAAGCAAAGTCCATCATCAACTGGGTCAAATTCTACGACGAAAAATATGTGTACAAAGGTATAACTCAATTCTCTCATCCAATTTTTCTTTTCAACTATGGAAAGAGTGCGCGCATGAAATGTAGGAATGAAATGTATCTCAAATTAACATGGGTAAATTTCATTCATAATGTATTTTCACATTTTCTTATTAGTCTCTCCACATTGAAAAAGCAGTTTCTAAACCTACTCAAAATTTTCTCGACTGATATGAAGATGACGACAGATTTGATACTCATCATCTCCAATGGCAAGTCCATAATCTGACCCAAATCCCCTATCACAGAGGTGTTCCGCGGAATGAAAATTAATAAACAATACCATTTAAAGTAGTTATTGAAAGTCAAAAAGAATAAAATAAAAATATTTTTTTTCGAAAAATAAATACATAAAATTTTCTCCTAATTACAAAAAAATACATGTTCTCATTTTTTTTGTTAAATATACATATTGTTGCGTATTTGTTCTTTTCCTCTCACTCAGCTAAATTCATGTACGGTCGTCTCTTTCTTTTTTCGTCATTCTTTTATCTTTGTTCTTAGTCCGCGGACATGTCACTTCTTTTTGAGTCTTATTCATTATTCTTTTCGTCCATTTTATTTAATACACTCATTTTTTATTTAAACGGTGACTTATTTAACAATATTTTCCATCTCCAGGAAAATTAGTGGGAAGATTTTACGACAAAAATGGAGATCCAACAGCTGAATACCACGAATTCATGGACAAGGTGGAGAGGGCGGACGAGGCAGACACAATTCAAGAGGAAATGAAGAGGAAATTTCCACCTTGTAACGTAGAGTGGAAGCCCGAGGATGGAACCAGAGTTTGGTGCTCACCACAAAGGTAACATTCCGAGGTTCATAATGTCCTTCTAAAACAATTAGATGCAGATGGTTTATCTCTGTTCTGCTAAGATCTCTGAAACTGATATATTTGGAAGGAAATTCCAAATGCACTCTTCATCGGAAATTTTGTGCTGTGCAAAAAAAATCCTCTAATATTTTCAAAACTAGCACGTACGAAGAAATATCATAGAAAAATTTTGCGACTGCGCTAGAAAATTCTATTGGATTTCCACTACATTTCTATTGAAAATTTTCATTAGTTTTTGGCCGATTCCATTCAAGAACTCCGCAGCTTCCCTATGCATTTTTTATGGGAAATATCCAACAGGAAGTGTTTTATATAGCAAGTTTATTTTATAAAAATAAGTGGACAATTGAATTCTTTTTATAAATGAGTACAGTTATTGTTGCTAATAAATTAGCAATTTGCTTCCGAATGGAATCTCCTTTCTAATTCTTATTCCACCATTCTCTTATTCTACTTTTCATGTCATAATACTACACTGAGAAAAGAACGACGAAGTTCTAAAATAAATCTTAATTGTGCCAAGAAAATAGCTTTTTGAAAATTATCAAAAAAGGATTTTTTTGTGCCAAACATGCAGTGAGTGCTTCGGAACGAAAATTTTTGTCGCTAAAATAGATTTAGTAGTTCAAAAAAACTGGCATTCTCTGTACACGCAAGAAATGTCATTTCTAGCACTACTCCTTGGTTATTCGATACTTCCATACGTATTTTGCTCCCGAAAAATCTTTGTTTTATGCGAAACAAGGGACAGTAGTTTTTCGTTTCGGCTGTCCAATAATCACAGAAAAGAAATGAACCCTTAAATGAGACAATAATAATTATATGATAGCAATCTTGTAACTTGAGGATAAAATATTTGTTGATAAATTTTCCTCTATATGAGATATTTTCATCCTGAAGAGGCACCGTCTGGTGTAAATTATCCGCCTCTTGAGTCAAATATTTCGTTGCTGTCGAAAGCAGAACAATTATTCATGTTTGAGACTTAAATTCGAACCAAACAAATTCTTTTTTGGCAATTTTCAACTAGCGATTTTGTTGGCCCAAACAAGACTTGTTTGACATGTTTGTTTTTCTCTCAGTGTATCAGTCGGCTCGGATTCAGACCCAGTATCTTGTACGAAAGTATCTTATACGGAGGCTCGACTGTATATCAATTTTTTCGACAAATTTTATTATCGGAAACGATTTCAGATAGTGACTCGAGATTATTTCGAGATGAGCTTGAAGAAAAATGGAAAACATAATTCAGGATAATTAATTCTTTCAGTGGTGGAATCTCGAGAGATTGGACAGGAGTCCCCCGACAATTCTTCGAGAAGCCCTCAAGCGCCAAAAACAGATGTGCCTGTGTGAATCTAGAGAACTCTGATTTCCGCGAGCATCAGGGAAAATTCAGAGAATATGAAAACTGCGCGAGACTGTCGAGTACCTGCTATGTGAAAACGTGATAAAAATCAGTTCAAAACTAAACTAAATAAGTGGAGGATGAAAATAGAGAAATTAAAAAATCTCAGCACAAATTTTCTCAGGAAGAGAATTAAATAAGTAGCGAATTTCTAGCACAAAGAAGTTTGAGTGTTGAAACATTTCATAATGCTTAATTGATTATAGCATTTATACCATGACCATGTTTTGTATTAAAAAAGAATTTATTTTAGCAATAAAAAAAATAGAATATTCAGTGTATTCAAAATTTATACTAATTATTTTGAAAATATTTTGGAAAAGAGTGACTTCAATGACTTTCTCTACGGCAAAGCATTTTTTTCTGGCCTCTATTCCCCCTAATTAATATATTTAGCAAAACTAATAATTAAATAATACAAATCGCCTCTTCATTTCATAAAAGAAAAATATTGTATGATCCTCATTATAAATACCAAGTATGCAAACATTTAGAGATAATTATTCAATAATTAAACTTCCACAGAAATCATTTTCATCTCGAAAAACAAATTTATTTCATCAGTAAAAAAAAATGAAAATTCATGCTGAAAAAATCAAGTCACGCTGATCTCTGATTTCAATCCAGAGACAGTGATTTGCGATGATTAGTTATCATGAATTTAGTGATTTCATTTACCAACGACGATCGATGAAATGAATAATTGACTACTTTTAATTATTTCATTTCATTGTCAACACATCTAGCGCCTCCGAAATTCCGCATAGCAAAGCTTTTTTCTGGCTTCAATTCTTCAGAAAATATTTGCACAATCAACTAAATTACTCTAATTAATGCATTTAATAAACCTAATTATTAAATAATACAAATCTCCCCTTGATTTCATAAAAGAAAAATATTTTATAATCCTCATTATAAACACTAAGTATGCAAACATCTAGAGATAATTATTCAATAATTAAACTTCCACAGAAATAATTTTCATCTCGAGAAGCAAATTTATTTGATCAGTAAAAAAAATGAAAATTCATGCTGAAAAAATCAAGTCACGCTGATCTCTGATTTCAATCCAGAGACAGTGATTTGCGATGATTAGTTATCATGAATTCAGTGAATGCATTTGCCAACGACGATCGATGAAATGAATAATTGAACAGTTTCTTATCAATAGCTTAGTATCAAAGAAATATCGATTCAACATTTCGACAGTCTTCTAGCACTCAGAGACAATTATTTACATAGTTAATGTCTTTCGGTGGTCAAAATCAATTTTTTTGCGTTTTAAGTTCATTCAATTTCTTGAGAAATGCATTCATATCGATGCTCGGAGGTTTGGCCCGAATTTTCGATCCAAACGCCCGTTTTATCTTCGCTCGTCTCTTCCTCAATTTAGCCTCATTCGTTTTCTGATTTATCGGATCGAATGTTATCAGCCTGCGAAGTTTTCTTCCCTTTATTATTGTGGAATTGTCACTCATCCCATCAATCTCCTCGTAAATCGTCTCGAGAGTATTTTGGTTCTTCTTCCATGTCTTGTCGAGGTAGTATTCGCGGATTTGAGTGTCACTTTCCATCGTTGAGTAACTGCGCTTCTTGGGTTTAATACTACATCTGCAAATTAATGGTTTTTTATTGTTATGATTCAATGGTATGGTCGTTGAGACGATTTCGCAATTTACAGAAGAATTTATTGCCATTTTTTACTTAAACTCATGAATTTTCAAGAATGCAATTATCTGGATAATTATGTCTTGAGTAATATTATGAAGATCAGTTGTTTCAATGAAAAATAGAGAATCTCTACGAATTTTTTTTTTTTAGACAATTTAATAATCTACAGGAGTTTTTCTGTTTTCATAATGGGTAATTATGTCTTGAGTGATATTGTAAAATTCAATGGTAAAATTATCGAATAGAATGACTGAACTTCACTTAAAGATCAGGTTTTTTAATAAAAACCAGAGAATCTCTAAGAATTTTTTTTGCAGACAATTTAATAATCACAGAAGGAGTTTTTTGAAGTTTTCTTCTAAAATCGTAAATTTCCAAGAATGTAATTGTCTGGATAAATATCCCTTGAATCATATGCAATAAATGGTTTTTGGCTAAATTTGACTTGAAGATCAGTTTTTTAAATAAAAATCTGAGAATTTCTGAGGATTTTCTGTAAACAATTTCATAATCTGCAGAAAAAGTTCCTTGGCGTTTTCCCACAACATCATGAATTTCCAAGAATGCAATTATCTGCATAATCATGAAGTTTGAAAAAACCAAAGAAAATATTTTCTACGGAAAACATTTTATAGAATCTAGACTATCATAATGTCTAGTTTGTTTGAAGTAATCTAGTTCTCGAGATATTCCCGGGATACCTATTAAATTTTCAAGAGTGAATACCCCTAATGAATTTTGATGAAGTTATTGCCCAAAAGTGCTGATCTAGTTTCTTCTGGAATTGATCCCAGTCTCGAATATTGAATTACTAAATTTCTACAGTACCTGCGATTCAATGATTCTGTGGTTTGCGTCATCTTGGGGACTCTCTTCCTCATTGCATACCTAGTTTGTCGCCCACTAGCCTCACTGTCAACAGTTAGGGATTCCATGCTAGCCACCACGTCAGGTAAATTTGTACTGCACTCAATTCCACTGTGAAAAATCATTTTAAATTAAAATAAACAAAATGAAGAATTAAAGAGATTCTCTACGCAAAACTGCCCCTGAAGTTCGTTCTAAAATCACCAATTGGCTGAATATTCCAATATTGACTTATGTTACGGAGAACTATGGCATAATATTGACTGACGAGATAACTCGACTTCTCATTCTCCCACTGCCACATAAAATTAGTGTCATTCGACGTTCTCTCCTAAGATCTTTTTTGCATCTGAGAAAATTCTCTGCGCAAAATTCACAAAATACTGGAGCGATCGGGCTGAAACTGTGGACCGAAGTTGAGCTCAATAATACCTACTATGGGTCAAAATTTCAGATTTATGTCAATGAATTTTTCCGTATTAATGTTATATTTTCTAAAAAGTGATCACTCAAAAACCGAATCAGACCCGGATACACAGGCATTTTCTAAAAACATCATTTTTTCACGTTTCATACCATTCTACATCATTTCCAGGAAATTGGAGAATGTCAAAATCCGACGAATACAATGCTTCCATTCGGAAGCAATAATGGTATTTTGAAAAAATTATTAAATTTTATCAACATTTTAACCCCTCATTAACATTTTAAAAAAAGTCAAAAGTGTCCGTTTTACCCCAACCTCCCCTATAATTATCATGAAACCGGGTAATTTTATCAAAAAAAGTCAAAAGCTCTTTTTTACAGCTGACAAAATTCTCTACACAAAAGTTCTTTTGACATTTCGTACTAAAATCATCAATTATCCACATAATCTCACTGTAGACTAATAATCTTCATTCAACCCTCTCACCATTTGTATATGGGAGGGTGGGGTAAAATGAACAATTTTTATTTTTTTATAATGTTAATAACGGCTTGAATTATTAAAGAAATGGAATATTTTTTTGTCAAAGAAAAGAACAATTCTTTCTCTCTGCGATGAGTCGAAATTGATCTCAACTGATAAATCTGTTTTCGAGTTATTATAAATATTTTTTTCAAGTCAAAAGTGTCATTTTACCCCACCCGCCCCTAAAAAAAATTATTGCTGACACTCCTAGCACGCAAGAGCCGGAGATTCACCCGCGACCTCAAGCAATATTGATCGTTCAATGCAAAAAATCCTAATGACTCCCAGCGAAACCCCCAGATCAATACTTTCCCTTTTCCCAAAGAAATTCATTCAGAAAAATTCATTAAAAGTGAACGTACCTAGCCTCTGCCGTCATTTCAGCCATCATGATCTCCTCCTCTCCATAAAAGCCCTTCACACTCTCAAATAATCAACAATTAAGCTAACGTATCACAAATTAATACTTCATTCACGAGAAATATCCACTATCCCTCATGAATATCGAGAAATATTCTCGAAATATCTCCGAGCCTTCGCTCTCTTTTGTCCCTCAGAGGGAAACGTAACTGAAAAACTCGGCGTATGGCCGCGTTTCCAACTATTTATCGAGAATAACAAATCATCCCGAGAATTTTTCACTTCTCAACGATTTTAACTCGATCCAATCCCTCGAAGAATTGTCTCAATATTTTTTACAATTGTTTTTCGTCAGGGAAAATCGTTGATACTGTTTGTTGATACATGGGATAAATAAAGTGGCTGACAGCAGCGCCAGGCGGCACGTGAACATGTCAAAAAGTTGGGAGGACTTTCTAACCTCGCGACAGCTCCTTTTCGACTCCTGGACTGCTAAACTTTTTGGAGCATTTTTGTGAAGTTTATTGTTTCGAAAAACCTTGTTGTGGGGCATTGTTGACTGTTGTTCGTTTTTTTCGATTTTTTTTTTGAAATTTTTGTTCGGGGCATGGAGACAGTGAGGGAATGCGGCTGCAAGGGAATTAGAACGTGCCTGATTTGCGAAAAAGAGTTCAATATTTGTAAACCTGATCTGTTTAAGGATCTGCAGGTAACTTCTCAATTGTTTATGCATTTATGCTCAAATGTTTCTGTATTAATGTTTACTTGAATTGCTATTTATACACATATGGGGATAACTAGTGCCTTCAGAAGAAAATATTAATAGAATAATTAAAAGCTTCTATTGGAGTACGTAAGGAAAAATTTAGGCTTTTGACTTTCTTTTAACGTTAATGACCCATTAAATTGTTTATGATGTTGGATAATTTTTTGTCCATCGAAAGTACAATTGTTCCCCTTTCTGATTAGCCTAGACTGAACTCAATTGATAATTTTTCTTTGTGAATTATCAACAAATAATATAAATACATGATATATTATTAATTAACAATGATTGTTCATCCTCGAAAAATAGTATTTAGTATTTAGTACAGTACAGGTAATAATTTTCAGAATTGTCAAATTCAAACTCATTGAATTATGCGTGAAAAAAGTTTTTCTAATATCATTTTATCGAAGTTTTCAAGATAATAAAGATAGCATCATTCTTTCATTTGATTTATACAAATATTTATACAAGATTTTTCACAACAAATCTTACGCAATTGATTAAAAAACAAATATTAGTAAATTTACCAAAATGATATAAAACGATAACTAATATACAATAGAAAACACTGATGTTCAAAATGAAATTTTACAATTTGTTAGAATTTATTTGTAAAAATTGCTATGAATTTATCAACGAAAATAGCTAGGCTGTATGAAGACAGAAGCAATCTCCCACTTGTTTTTTATTTCAGGAGCTTCCTAGTTATGTTTATTGTCCCCACTGTGACAAAGCATATCCCGGATGGGACGTGAATATTTTTAAGGACCACCCCCACCACCAGGGAACTCCACTCTCCTACCCAGGTGTATTTATCAAGGTAAAAAGTCCGAAAAATCTCTGAAAAATCATGTAAAAAACCACTAAAACCCCTTGACAAATAATTCTGCATCAGCTAGATTTCTTGACGACCAGAGAGGCCGAGCAACTCCTGATAGACGTGGACAATTTACCCTGGGACATATCTCAGAGTGGACGAAGGAAACAGAATTACGGGCCCAAGTGCAATTTCAAGAAGAAAAAACTTCGACTGGGGGACTTCAACGGCTTCCCAAGGACTACCAAGTTTGTTCAGGAAAAATTCAGTGATGTCCCTCTGTTAAAGGGCTTCAGGACGATTGAGCAATGCAGTTTGGAATATACGAGGGAACGAGGAGCCTCGATAGATCCTCATATCGATGATTGCTGGATCTGGGGAGAGAGAATTGTTACAGTCAATGTTCTGGGGGATTCTGTACTCACTATGACGAGGTAAATATTTTTTTATGTCTAAATTTTCATGTCAATTTATTGATTTACTCATGAAATTCCTTGGCATCAATTTGTAGCAGAGATAGGCAAAATCTTAATACAAAATTAAAATTATTTTATTGCATCCAAAATCACGTAACTGTATTGTACAATTTGTCAATTTTTATTATATGAATTATCAATCAACACTTTCAATTTTTCAAATATTACATTAATCATTAATTAAATTTTCAAATTTTCAAATATTTTATAAATTAGCAATCAACTTCGCAAGAATGATGATCATTAGATTAATTGAAAAATCAAATTTAGATGTTTAGAATGAATTGTTCAATTATAATTGAGAATTAAAAATTATGTACAAATTTAAATAAAAAAGTAGTGAACACTGATTAATTTATGGTCGGCTTCTATTAAAATTATTTAGTAACAATTTTTGCCGATCTCTGATTCGTAGATTGGTTTTCCTCTCTCAAAAGATAGGTGAAAAATTTTCAGTCAAGTTTATTTCTAAAAGAATTGACTATTTTTTTTGTAAATATCCGTGAGAGTTTAAAGGAAAAATGTCAGAAGATATTTTTTGTAGAGAATTTTGTGGGCTAGAACAAATGACTTTCGGCATTGTTCGGTAAATTGAATCGTTTCATATTGATAACATTAGAAGATATAAAAAATACAGTTTATTTATATCGAAAAAGAAGGGGTGTTTCGTCGAAAGCGAAGTTTATTTAGTGAATATCAAGAATATCTGGACATTTTTCGATAAATTATTTGATTTTGGAGATGACCGTGAGAAATTTTTGATTTATTCATTTATTATTACCTTCGATTCTTCCCTCATAGTAAGCAGACTGATGATTATTCCAAAAATATACAAAAAAAGCCATCATAAATTTTAGCAAGAGGTAAACATATCATACAAGAAATTACGTAGGGTTTTGATTCGCAAAAAGAACTGAATATAATTATATAGATTTGCATTCTTTTAAAACGTCACTACTAATTTCTTTTATTTAATCCAACTAATTGCTTCATTTGGACGAATGAATCAATCCTGTGCTCTCTAGTGTTCGAGTGAATTGGATCGACTCGTGCTAAAATGGAAACAAGTTCAAGAGATTTCTCATTTTAATCTCAAATCTATGTTATTTTGCAGGTTTCATGGAGACGAATGGAAATATAATCGTCACTTAGTTTCTACGTATCCACCAGTTGTTGACAAGGATTATTCCGATGACGAGAACGTTGGAGACTTTGTTGTGAGACTTCCAATGCCAGAGAGATCGTTGATGGTGTTATATGGACCCTCCAGGTATTTTACAAATAAGTTTCAATCCTTTTTAATTGACAAATATTTTGTGTGATAATGGAAAGCATTTAGTTTTTCCATTGCAAAGATTGTAATTCATGGTCTGAGGATATTCAGAAATGTTGAAAAACTTATTGTCATCGATTCACTAAAACACATCATCATTGTACGATTTTTGTAACAAAGATTTTTCTGAATGATTCGGTTTAAGTATTTTTTCATTTGAAAATTTTCAATTATGAAATTTCGAAATGACATTGCGTGGAGAATATTTAGATTCCATTTTGCAAAATATGAGTTCTCTTGAAACATTTTTCACGAACACAATTGTTTTTAATACACAAATGATAAAAATAAATATTAATAGTAAATAATAATTATTTTTCCGCATAAATAACAGTTATTGGAAAATTATTTAAACTTTATGAATGAAATATGAATGAATTCACGATGAATATTTATCAATTATTTCAAAGTGTAATAAAATGGTTAAATTTTATTCCTAAAAAAATTTTAATTGCAGATATGACTGGGACCATTTAGTGTTCCGAGAAGACATAGACTCCAGAAGAGTTTGCATAGCCTACCGAGAATTCACACCACCCTATTTACCTCCAGGTGATCACAGTCACGAAACTGTCGAGATTCTGAAGAAGGCGGAGAATTTCTGGTGACGTAGTTCCCTGATCCATCCACAAAATTTTAATTATGAATTATGCAATCAATTTTGAATATTTATCAATCTTCTCTTTTGAGAATTCCAGAATAATCACGGGGAAAATCAATTAAATTTTAACTGTTCATTTTTGTCAGTGGTAGTAAATTAATGTAAATATGCAATGAAATTATGTCAGAGTTGTCGAATTTTTCGTTTATATCGTTACTTATCGAGAGTGCAGAGAGAAATTGTATTTTTTTTTAAGTTTCTTGTGATGAGCGTTATTTTATCACTGAAAATGAGGGAATCCAGGATGTATAAAGTTGTGTAAGCACGTCAATAATAAAAATCGTTGATAATTCTGATGATAGTCATTCATTGAGAAGAAAATGAATATAATAACTTTATTATATATTTGAATAAATAAAAAACTCAAATGAAGGGACTCCATTTGATTATTCATATATCTGAGTAGTTTACAATTACTGTAATATTTGGTATAACTTCTATTTATTAATTTTAGAGAGAAACGTCAAGAGATGTTTTTCTAGGGGATTTCCTGAGCTAAAGAAAAGGCTTTCTTTCTCGAATTATTTACATACTTGATAAAACATTTCAAGTAAATGGATCCTCTCAATGCTCATCTCAATAATTAATTAATGATTGAGTTATTAACAATTACTTATTTTCCTTCTTCAGGTATATCGCGATAATTGTTAAAACTATCGCGATTAAATTGTTTTCCAGTAAACGCTTCAAAAGATTCTTTTTTTTCATTGGGATTTTCCTGCATTTCAAAAAAGATTTCCTAAAATTTCCATAAATTAAACAAACAGAAATAAGAATGCATAATATCCCACCATAAATCGATTATTCCATCATTAACGACTTGAACAATGGTCTGGGTACATGAACATTGATAAAAACAACTGATAGATTATGTTAACAATATATCAATTTATTGAAAAACATAAAAATACAATACTTTGACTCTATTAACAAGTAATAATTCATCGTTTGTATCGATAAATTCGTATAATTTATTCATCATGCTTAATTACGATTATAGGCACATTGATTTTGTGTCATATAACACATTACATTATCTTGGGAAAATTTATTTAATTAAGTACTTGGTTATCATACTTTTGGCTTCGAAATGCAGAAATTGGGGGACTTGGGAAATGCACTGAAGTGGTGAAACCGACGTATTTATCAATTCTGGAATTATCTTCAGAACGACTCATTTTAAGAGAAAATATCAAAAGACCTTTTTCTAGCTGGGAAAACTTTTCACAAAAGTTCTTTTGACATTCTCTCCTAGAATCCATGATCAATGAGATAATTGACTAGTGAATTATGAATTGACGAGTTCAAAAGATTTTTTTCATAGGAAATTTCCTGGACTTTGAAAAAGATTTCCTGAAATTTCCATAAACTGAAGAAACAGGAATAAGAATGCATAATATATTACCATAAATCGATTATTCCATCATTAACGACTTGAACAATGGTCTGGGTACATGAGCAATGATAAAAACAACTGATAGATTATGTTAACAATATATCAATTTATTGAAAAACATAAAAATACAATACTTTGACTCTATTAACAAGTAATAATTCATCGTTTGTATCGATAAATTCGTATAATTTATTCATCATGCTTAATTACGATTATAGGCACATTGATTTTGTGTCATATAACACATTACATTATCTTGGGAAAATTTATTTAATTAAGTACTTGGTTATCATACTTTTGGCTTCGAAATGCAGAAATTGGGGGACTTGGGAAATGCATTGAAGTGGTGAAACCTGACATATTTATCAATTCTGGAATTATCTTCAGAACGACTCATTTTAAGAGAAAATATCAAAAGACCTTTTTCTAGCTGGAAAAACTTTTCACAAAAGTTCTTTTGACGTTCTCTCCTAGAATCAATCATCAACAAGGTAATTGACTAACAAATCACGAATGAACGAGTTCAAAGGAACTCTGTAAGTTCCACTTCAATGCCAAAACAATTGAGATATTGGTATTAACTCACTGGGGCAGTCTTCAGGGGCTCTGAAGGCTGCATGTACACCACAGGAAATGTGACGAAGGGGTCGGTTTTGCCCAGGGGTTGGTAACCGTCCACTAAACTCCGGCGTAATTCCCACTTTCGTCGCTCCCTCTCGGTTTTCTGACGACGAATAGCACGCCCCAGGGTACAGGCGAACATAATTCCAGTGAACTAAAAGGTGTGACAAATTTACATGATTATTCTCATCGCAAAAAATTTGAAATATTATTGCTTCCAAATGGAAGCTTTCTAATCGTTCAAATTTGAATTTTTATTTTTTTGTGCGAAGCAGTAAAACAGTTTAACTCGATTTTGATTATTGGCCAGTTTTCTATGAATATCTCCGGATCTAAGGCAGATAGCAAAATTTTTATCATAAACTTTTTTATAGAGTGGATTAAGATCTACGAAAAAGGTTGTTACGAAAATTCCTCTATCTCCCTTAGATTCGGAGATATTCATTGAAATCTCAGCTGAGAGATAAGTCGACTTAAACTATTTTACCACTTCGCTACTGAATTTTTAGACCTTGTCCGTATGTGTGTGTATGTACATATGAGGTATTCCACGTCAAATGAGTCAACCGCTGACCCTCACCCTCTTGGAAATTGATGGCGATTTTTGCTACGATTGGGGAGGTTGAAAAACTATATTTCAAATTTTTTCAGATTTTTTCGGCAGCCCCGTTCGGAGATATGGTTTTTGTTTCGTTTTTCCGTTTTTTTTCCATAACTCGAGTTCTATCCATTCGATTTTGATTTATTAAGCGTCCAAATTTTTCATTTTTTATTGTCTGTAAGAAGATTTTTAGTGAAATTTTTTTTTCGATCTCTAGATGCGCAGAATAACGACTGTTCGAATAAAAAAGTTGAAAAACTTGAATTTTGCAAATTACGTCACGGATGATTTGTTTCATTTTTTTTCAGCAATTCTTATAATCAAAACAAGTATTTTGAGCCACCATACAAGTTGGGAATCGTCCTGGATCTATTCTATTTTCAATTTTTTCTTTTCGAAATTCCGTAAATTTGGTCGCAACACCTCAAAATGGCGTTGATTGACCTTGATTATAGACAGTATGAAGTGAATTTGATTGTATACCTATATATTACATATTTTTTCGATACATAATCGAAGTCGTTTTGTGGAGTTTTGACCAAATTTGCAAAATTTCCAAAAGAAAAAATTAAAAATAACATAGATCCAGGAGGATGCCCAACTTGAATGACAGCTGAAAATACTTGTTTTGATTATGAGAATTACTGAAAAAACAATTTTGAATATCAACCGTGACGTAATTTGCAAAATTCAAGTTTTTCAACTTTTTTTTTTCGAAAATTCGTTATTATGAGCATCTAGGAATCGAAAAAAAAAATTACTAAAAATAGTCGTATAGGCGGTAAAAAATGGGAAATTTTGACGCTTAATAGATAAAAATCGGACAAATAGAACTCGAGTTATTGGAAAAAACGGAAAAAAGTGAAAAAAATCGCATCTTTGAACTGGGCTGCCGAAAAAATCTGAAAAAATTTGAGAGATAGTTTTTCAACCTCTCCGAGTTTTTCTTCAATTATTCGCTAATGAATGAATGGAATTGAATCTTTTTTTCGAATGTCGGTATTGTTGAGGCCTATCGATCGTCATTAATTGAAATTAAATTCATCGATTAGTTTTATTAATTTTCGATTTTTTTCGAAAATCAGTTATCCCACGATAACTAAAAAAAATGTTTTGAATTGATTGAATGATGGTTTAAAAAATTTGTTTGAATGTCCTTTTGACCGAGTTCGAAGATGAAGGGGATAGCAATAATCGGTATTTTGATTTATTTGAAAATTTTCAAAAATTTTGTATTTTTTGAAAATCAGAATTCCGGGGATATCTTTGAATATCATGCTTCAGATGAATTCAATCATAGCTTAAAATGTTTGTTTTAATGCCATTAAGTCGAAGTTAAAAGATGATTACGATAGCTATATTGGTTGATTTGATTTTTATGATGATTGTTGAAAATGTCAAATTTTTCATGAATTTCCCTGAAAGTGAGCTTTCTGATGGTTTCTTCAAATGTGATGTTTCAAATTCATTCAAGTATGTGTAAATAAAATTCTTCCATCAACATTTTATCGAAGGGCTGAGGGGAGAGATAAAACCGTAAAAAAGACAATCGGTTGTATAGAAAAAATGAATAATAAGAATAATGATGACATTGAACTAAGTTGAAAATCTGACAAATGTGTGAATGAATAATTACCTGAATTAAGGCGATTGCAATGGCTCCAGTTCCCAGATTGAGTGCACTTCTCTCGACAATCATCATCATACGCCCAATGCAGCCATCCTGATAAACCGCACTGCATTCTGTCTCGTCGTTATCAACGACTCTCACCCAAGCGCAGCAGGACTCTGGGTATGGACCCCCCCTCCAGTCCTCTGCACCATAGACTCCACAGCATCTCAACTGTAATGACGCATACAACTCAATTTTTCATCCTAAAAATCTTATTTTATTGTAACAATTTTTTGAGAATTTTATCAGAAATGGATTTCAGGGGAACAAACAAAAAAATTTTTGAAGGTTTAAACAATTTTGATTATTTATTTATAAAAGGGGCATGTTCAGCAAAATTATAGTTTCTGACAAAATATAATAAAGCTGAAGGCCCATGAATTTTTTCAAATTTTTCTCACAGAGGAAATTTCTCTTCACAAATAACACAAGAGCCTTTTCTGCACATACGAAAAAATTTAAGAAATCTCGACATTGGAACCCATTTATTAACAATCAATTTTCTATCCTAAAAATAAATTTTTTTATTATAACAAATTTCTCCATATTCAGAATTTTATCAGGAATGGATTTCACGGAAACAAACAAACAAAATGTTGAAGGTTTAAAAAATTTTGATTATTTATTTATAAAAAGGGCATGTTCAGTAAAATTATGGTTTCTGGAAAAATGAAATAAAGGGAAAATTGAGAAAAATGTAACATTTTCCCCTGAGCACAGGGATTTCCCAGATATTCAGATAACAAAAAAAATGCTGAATTTCAATTTACCCTCGACTGCATAAAATTAACTGCTCCTGTTGCTTCGCTGTTGTGTCCGTATCTCTGCATTGTTGCATTCATTCTGTCAGCAAGGGCATTCTTGATACCGTCCTGCAGTGCGTAAGCAGAAATCGCAGCTGCTACCTCGAGGATAAGTACTATGGAGAGTGACACTGCAAACTGAAAGACCAAAGGATCGATGTCTCAATCTTCACTATTTTCTGTATTATCCCCAGGCTATTTTACTCGGTCAAACCTTAAATGTTTTTAAGGTATAATTTACATGGAAAGCAGGATGCTATATGCTATCTTTCGACTTTCCGAACCTCTATACGAGGGAAACAATTAAATAATTGATTAATGGTGTTCAGATTGATAATGTTGTAAGTTGTTGTGATCTGCGTGTTGTTTTTGACAATAGATTAACATTTAGCCCTCATATTGAGGGTATCATTGCGTCTGCGAAGAAAACACTTGGTTTTGTCACCAGAATTTGTAAAAATTTTAAGAGCATTTCTGTTATCAAAACGCTATATCTAAGTTTAGTTGTGCCTAAGATAGAATATGCCTCGTTCGTATGGTCTCCAACCTATTTAAATCAAATAAGTAGGATTGAGTGTGTGCAAAAGAAATTTCTCAAATTCTTGAGTTGGAAAGTGGATGTACTGTAAATTAATGATGACTAGCGAGTGGGGAATGGCTGCGAAATAAAAATATGTTAAAATAATGCAAGTTGTATGGATGGGATACTGGGTCGTACAACTTTCTGGATTGTTTGATCTTAGTGATGCTTTCCGTCATGACAGCTTTGTCAAATTTGATCGATTAATGAGTTCATTTTTGTATTGTATGTAGACTGTAGTTTGACCCTGTAATTGGCCTTGTGCTGTTGGCTCTTTATGAAATGAAATGAAATGACATGAAATGAAATTAACAATGCACAAATTTAAAAATTCGAAGGCACACAGACGCGAACTCAGGTGGGGTATGATCCCATATCTATAGCTAAAATTAAAAGGTATTAATTATAGTTTCATATTTTGGCCTTACTATTTTCATTATCAAATCCACATCAAATCGTTTCGTCACACTCCAAAATCTCATGATACAAGACTAGAAATAAAAAATCTCTAGATTCTGGAATTCTGGCTGCTAATTGGTACCACTGAGACTCAAATTTTTTTTATGAACGAATTAATAAATTACACATAAGTTGATTTTACCAATTAGATGGATTAAAGTAGCTCTACCCTTCGGCCGGGCTACGCTGTACTTTTGGACATTTTCAGTTTTTAAATTTTTCATCTAAATTGCATGGAAAAAATTTGAAAAGATTCATACCCAGTCAGTATTATCTGGATTAAATTTCGCAGAATATTGATATTTTTTCAAACATTTCCCACTTATAAATAAATAATAAAACTTGTTTGCAAAACGGTGGATTATTTGTTATGTGGTGTTAAAAAAAATCTTGATTCTTTCACATCTAATGAAAAAAAATCCGATTTTAATCTTTGATTATAAGACACTGGGTTAAATCCTGATTTTTAAAAATTTCTTCTTTGAAAAACCAAAACGATAATTAAATTGAGAAAAAAAATTAGAATTCCGAATCTAATCGAGTTTTTTACCATTTTTTTGCAGTTTTCAATAATCTTTGAATTTACCGTAAGGGTAGAGCTACCTTAATGGCATACTTCAATACTGACGCATTATTTTCTCGACAAAATGACCATTCGATGATTAACATTAAGACCTCGTGATGCGAGAAAATTGGTCTTGAAATTTCAGGTGATAAAATTTGAAATTCTTAACTATAACATATTCACATGTCATTCATAGACAGGGGCTGAGGGGGAAGCGGGTAGCAGGGGTCCATAAGGGTTACACCCAGAAAAATGATCCATTTGAATCAAAGAAAATTTTTTTAAATACTACCAAATAAATTTTTTTTTCCAATTAAATAAACATTTTTATTCGAAGTTTTGTTTATATGAAATAAATTGTTTTGTAATATTCATAAATCTTTAGCTAATCCAAATAAATGCTTTATTTATATCAAATAAACAGTTTTCTTATATTCAGAAAATTTCTTTATTTGAATCAAATAAATTGTCTCTTTGAACTAACTCAATTTTTATTTAATACTAATAATTTATTAGCCCACGAATATTGTTGAAACACACTTTCGAAATTCTTTCACAAAATACATGAAAACGTGATTTGTTTATTCAATGAAGAAAATCATTTATTTTCAATACATTGTTTTTTCAAACTTGATAAAAATTGTATTTAAAATAAATGAATTGTTCGTTTATTTGTAACAAAAATATTCTTGAGATAAATGAAGAATTTCAAATAACGATTTATATTTGATTTTTAAAAAAACATTTTTCTGGGTGTACTTTACGAACGAAATGACAAAATAGTATTTTTCGGCCTAACGATGAAATGTACCATTTGAAATTTCCAACAATTCAATGGCTTCCTAATTCATAATGTATTGAACATCACGAAAATACTCACGACTAGAACCATGCAGGTGCTCTCCTTGATAGCTCCACAGCATCCGAAAAATGCGATGAGAAAGACTAAGGCGCCAACAACAATGAGTAGTGTTGCAGGTGAGAAATAACTCGGATCCAAGAAGTGTCGGAAGTCCTCATAAACAGCGTAAATCGTCGTCCCTACGGATATTATCATCACCCCCGTCAACTAGAATATCAATAAAAATCGAAAATCCATGAAAATTGAGTAAACAAAATTTTTTGAATTTTTTTTTTCGATAAAATTTTCCTTAAAAAATTTTAAAAATTCTAGAAAAATTAACAATAACCGAATTTTATTCTGCACTAGTCCTCTGTTTGAACGCATTTTCTTATTGCCAACAAAAGAAAAAGTGTACTTATGTAGTTCATCGGACCAATTTTTCTCATGGAATTCGCAAAAAATCGTATAAAATTCTTGGACTTGATTTCGCAATTCAGATGATGGGAATAGTCCAACTGAATTGCCCCTTATGCTCCACAATTGTAGAATTTTTTTCTCAAATTTCAGCAAATTATCCTCACGTTTAGTAAATTTTCCCGAGCCAACGAAGAAAGATTTACGATTTGTTGTTAGATTATCAATTATTTTATAATGTTTCAATTTTAATGAAGCATCAATTATTTTAAGGTGCTTTTCTTGCCCCTTTTCTTAATATTGATATTAATCTAATGATCGATGCCGATCCCTGCAAAGATTTCACGTCTAGACCGCAAAACGGTCATCGGTTTCCAGGTGAATTTTTCCCTTAGATTTTCTGATATCAGAACGATTGGAATCGAGACTGATATTTTTAATCACCTCGCACGTTATCATATCGCAAGATAACGAGTTGAGTGACGCGATAGCACAAACTCTTTGTTGGATATCTCAATCGACCTATCCACAACGTACTCCGAGGTGATTACAGCCATGTCGTGAGGTCTTAAAGTTCTTTAAGACCTCAATGCACGTCATATTGACCGTGTGACCGGACTCCTTGGGCTCTGCATTATTGACCGCTCTACGATATTACGATGTAACGGAAAACGTTACTCGAGGCCGCACCCCTATACTATTTCCCGGGGCTTTTGCGGATGAACACTGACCTTACCATCGACCTCGTACCTCATTCAATTGCTCCACAGGGAATCCTATTTTCGAATACTCGGTATCACTGATTACCGAGATTTTTTTCTCCGGCAAGGGCAAACTTGTCACGACAGGCACGCACGAAAAAATTTAATAGAAAAACCTATCGAATTCGTTTGAAAATTCTACCCTAGTGGAAAAACCTAAGGCAGAGGTGTAACACTCCTGATCAGAATTTCGGATCGGACTTGATCAGTTTCTGATCAAGACCTGAACAGAATTTCCACTCGGGTATTGAATTTCTATTAAACTTTCTATTAATTTTTGGCTGATTCTGTTGACATGTTCAATAGAAAACATTCAATAAAAAAAGTCAACAGAATTCGATTTTTCTATATAACTTATTCTTTTCATATATTTTCTATAGAATTTGCTCGACTCAAATTTTCTAAATTTTTTTCATTCTATTTGTATTTTCTTCTCATCAAGAAAATCAAACGAAAAAAACGTAGAAAATTTGAGCCGAGGAAATTCTATAGAAAATATCTCAATAGAATAAGTTATATAGAAAAATTGAATTCTATTGACTTTTTCTACTGAATATTTTCTATTGAACATTTCAATAGAATCGGCCAAAAACTAATAGAACAGTTCAATAGAAATTCAATAGAATTTTCTAACGAATTCGATAGGTTTTTCTATTAAATTTTTTCGTCCGTGGGGAGAAAAAAGTTTTGGTTTTTGTGAATTGATTTTCATTCGGAAAAAAAATGAGGTGAAAATCCTCATAGATCACGTCCATTTCGCCTGAGTCTACACTGTTAAAAATTTTGGTCTGAATTTTCCGGTACATTTCTTGGAAATTTTTATCAAATTTAATTACCACTGAAATTTTAAGGAATTTCGTCATTGAAAATTCAGACTTTCGGGGGAAAAACAAAGAGAACTGTAAATTTCAGTTCCATTTTTCTCTGGAAACGAATAGAAAACCAGAAAATTCTGGTGAATATATTCTTGAATTTTCAGGACAGTGACACTGACTACGATTTAGGCAGGAAAAAATCATTAAATTTCAGATTTCATTGGAAATTCAACTGAGACTTTTAAAAGTTTTAAATTGAGATTTGCAAATGTTTCCAATTGAGACTTAAGTTGAGACTTGGAAAGTCGCAAATTAATACCTCCCAAAGTCTCAACTTGAGGCTTTCAGAAACTTTTCTCTCAAGGCTCTCAACTTAAGAATTTCGGGCTTCAAATCAAGGCTTGAAAATCTTATTTTCTGACCTTAGAAATTTTAAAATAAGATACACTGCTAGCATTTTTTCGAAATTTCATGGAAAATATTTTAGTAATTATCATGAGAATAGCATTGAATCCGATTTAGAGAAAAAATGACTATGAAATTTCAAGTTTTACGTAGAGTTCAAGGAACTTCATGAGTTTTCAGTGAGAGTGAGACAGAAATTTCGCAACTTGATTGAATTTTCAACCGAACATGAAAATTTAAAAATAAAATAACATGAATTTTCAAAATTTCCCTGAATTTTCCTGATTTTATCGAATTTTCATGGAATCAGTGAAATGAAAAATCCAGTATTTTATCGATTTTCCATTCGTACGACCATTCGAACAGAAAAGCAATGGAATATTTGATTTTTCAATGACAAAATTTCCTGAAATTTCAGCGGAAATTAAGCATGATAAAAATGTCCAGAATTGGACACGAAAAATTCAGACGAAAATTGTTAACAGTTTCATTTTTTGGATATAAATCATCATTTTTGAAGACTCGGATGTATATCATTTTAAACTTCAATATTTATCACAATTTTTCATGATTTTTCTGGAAATTTCTCCGTTCGATGAACGGAATGAATATTTCCTCTAGGATTTCCAGAAGGAAAAAGTCTGTTCCGCCTCAAACTAGGAGATGAATTGCTCAAAATATGAGTCAATGATTTTTTTACAAAATTCCTCATCGAAATTTTCTCCAGCCATTTTCTCTTAGAACCGAGACTTAGTTACCGAGACTTTCCAATAATCGAATAACCACCCTACGTTGAACTGAACAATTTCCACACTTTACGACTGAATATACTTCATCAAATCGCAAACAACTTTATTCCACTTCCTTCTCCCAAACAAGGTAAACACCTCCACATCCGCGTTCTCAGAATACCCACAATTTTCCTGCCTCAACCTTCATCGATAGAAAAAAAACCGAGTGAAACTCATTAACGTGCTGAGCCATGACGGCTTGAGAGATTCTCATCTCCATGCATGGGGCATTGATTAAAGAATAATTCATTCTAAAAGTAGAAATTTTTTTTCCTGCTGCTCGGAAAATTCCGAGCAAATGTCAATTCCTCCTGACTATTTTCCTGGACCCCTTTTTCATTATTATTTAAGCATCTCCCATTGCATAGAATATTGGTAATTTTTAGTTTCCAAATTTCCTAATTTTTAATTCCTGCAAAAACAATTGAAACTTCACGTATAAAAAAATTCATAGAAAAATCTAGCGAATTTTCCAGACAATTCTATTGGATATCTGTTGAACTTTTCACTAGTTTCTGGCCGTTTCTATTGAAATGTATAGAATAGAAAATATTTTATAGAAAAAGTCAATTGGAATTAGATTTTTCTATACAACTTATTTTATTAAGATATTTTCTATAGAATTTTCTCGGCTCAAATTTTTTACGTTTTTTCATTGTTTTTCTATTCTTTTCATCAAAACCATTGAATACAAAAAATTGTAAAATTTCTATAGAAAAAGTTAATGGAATTGGATTTTTCTATACAACTTATTCTATTGAGATATTTTCTATAGAATTTTCTGAACTCAAATTTTCCAAGTTTTTTCCTTCTGTTTTTCTATTCTTTTCATCAAAATAATTAAATAAAAAAACTTGGAAAATTTGAACCGAGGAAATTCCTTTAACTTTTTCTATAGAATATTTACTCTTGAACATTTCAATAGAATCGGCCGAAAATAATTAGAAAGTTCAATAGAAATGCAATAGAATTGAATAGAATTGTCTATTTTTTTCGTGCGTGTTCTTTTGGCGATTCTTCCTCACTATCGACCAACTGAGCAAATTCTTGACATTGAAATTCTTATCAACAAAATAATCAATTACTCGAAGTAATTCTAAAAATAAACTCCTCGTCAAGATTAATCAACCAAATAGGAAAAAATATTCAATTAGAAAACCGACTTGATTAAGCCAATAGAAAAGCCAATGCCTCGCCAAGCAAAAAGAAATTCCATGAACAAACAAACGAAAATAATTTGTTACTATCCAACTGCTAAAAATTGTTGCTGAAATTTCCCGTACACGCGCTAGAATAATGTTTATCTAATGTTATATCGTTTATATAATGTTTATCTATTGTTATATATAATTAACAATTTATCTAATGCTTATCAAGTGTCAATTTCGCTGAATTTTGAGGGAATTTCGGCTTTGGAGATTCACAATTTGATGAAAAAATCAATGAAGTCTGTAAATTTTAGTTCAACTATTCGATGCAATTGATAGAAATGTTATATATACTCGAAGAATATATTAAATTGGCCTATATTATAATCCATGGGGGCAATGTCATTCTCCTGAAAATTAATAGTCAATTCTCCACGAAATGTCATTTTGTCCCGCCTCTATATTACCGCTTGATGATTTTCCGCAATTCTAAAAAAAATCGCGAAAAAAACTTACGCAAAAATATCGTCATGACATGTGAATATCTGCTTCTGCTAACGATATTGATACGATCGCGAGAGAAACCCCTGCAATGAGACCACCAGACGGTTGGGAGTTGTTGTATGAGTACAACTGACCCCTTCGCAAATTACACGTCACAACCCCCACCGTTTTTCCATAAATAATAAATCCCCACGTACTTCATGCGTGAAGAACTTCCCCCCCGTGTTATATCATCGATCTTCAAAATCTCGATGACGTCATCACCGCAGCCGAGGAAATTGCGCAGAACAATGCAACCGAGCGGATAAAAACGGACAGGAAAAAAAATATGAATACAAATTGTTTCGAGGGATAATAATAAGTATTGATTATTTTACGAACCACGAATAGTGAATTGACAGCACACAGAAGATACTTTATACACCTGAGACCAACATCGAGGTGCGTCGCCGCCATTTTGGCCTCCCTTTTAGGTTCTCCAAATGGTGAAAGTGACTGGCGGATGAATGAGGGAATTTTATATTTATTCCACTTATTTGGGGAGAATATTATTGATAATGACGGCTATTTAGGCGCGGTGTACTACGTGGAGACTAATGGCAATGGAGGTTTGCGTATCAGGTGGAGCTCACAATCACGCGAAGATAATGAAACGCCGGGAATGTACGACAAACCGACAGTGCACGAAGCCGATGTGTGACGCAAGGTGATTATAAGAGCTGTTAGTAGAGTGTAGGGGCAAATTCTCATCGATTATTTTTCTTGTTTGTTTTGTCATGCTCGGGCTTGTTTTGGGGCGATCTTAGGCTGATTGTCGTTGGGGAATTGGCTTTGTGAAATTGTTTCTTTGGTGAGGTTGTTGGAAAGAGTTGGGAGAGGGAGATGGTGGGAGTACGCGGATGAAATAATTTAATAGAAAAACCTAGCGAATGCGTTAGAAAATTCTATTGCATTTCTACAGAATTTTCTATAAGTTTTTGGCTGATTCTAATGAAATGTTCAAGAGAAAATATTCAATAGAATTCGATTTTTCAGTAGTAATACCTACTAGTGCTTCAAAATTATCGGGTATTTTCCGATAGCGTCATTGCCTAGGAACGACTGTGTCAAATTTCGCAGGTTTTAAGGGTGCCAAGTGAATTTGGCGATGACCTTGAAAATTGACATTCACCAACAAAGTTATAATTTTTTAAATTAATAGTATTAGACAGATGGTGAACATCGGTGACAATTTTAAAATTTTAGAACTTATGGGTATCGAGAAATTAAATAAACAAAATCAGTCTTATACACGGCCTCTTATGGAGTTTTGATTAAATTGAACGTTTCAACCCCCTAGGAACTCAAGAAAAATTTGAAAAAATTTGAAGATATGGGGAATGATGTGTTCAATGTGATGGCGACAAAAAACAATGGGGTACCGGGGTGAATAAGAGAGATATTTCAACCCGCCGTACCCATTTGATACTATGCTTTCTCGAGGTTCGTCACGCGAAATAGAGGATTTTCCGCATTTATTTTCTCGATGTCTAGTTCTGGTTGCGGGTTTGAAATTTCGTCGGATGGATAAACACATATTTCTCCAATGATGGAGGGAAAGAAAAAATTTTTAAAAAATCTTTTTTCAAATTCACTTGGCACCCTTAAATCCCGAGTGCGCAGCACGAGGCATTTTTCTGCAAAAAAAAATCCCTCGTGCTTCGAACTCAGGATTTAAAACCTGCAAAATTTGACGCACTCGTTCCTAGGCGGGGAAGCTTGAGGAAAATATCCGATTAATTTTGAAGCACGAGTGGTATTTGACGGATTCTTTTTCCACTCGGGTTTCGGTCAAGCAAAGTGCAGTGATATGACGTCATATGACGGGTCATGTGACGCATTTGCATCTCTAAGTGAACAGCATCCGGGTACATTTACACAGCCATACATTTACAACCCACTTTTTTGTTTATCTGTCACACAGAATATTAAAAGTGAAATGCGTTGAAAGATGAGAAAAATTTGAAAAGCTACTAGTGAGTTTCCGTCGGAAATTTTTTAGAAATTTCCGAAATAAAACTGACAGCCTCAAACACTGGGCTCTGATTGGCTGAAATCTGAGTGAGAAAAATAATCTATGTAACTTATTCTACTGAGATATTTTCTATAAAATTTCCTCCGCTCAAATTATCCAAGTTTTTTCGTTTGATTTTCTTGATGAGGAAAAAAGAAAAATAGAATGAAAAAAAATTGGGAATTTTGAGCCGAGGAAATTCTATCATTTCATCTTATTTAATTTGATAAAATGAAATAAACAATGAATTGTACATGATGGAAGAAAATTATATGCAAAATAACCATTCGGAAGCATATTGCTTGTTTTAAAGTAAAACTGAAGAAAAAATGCCAATTCAGGAAATTTTGAATGGATGATCATGGTGCCCAGATTGCTGTAAACAGGATAGCTCTACATTGAAAGTTCATAAAAAGAATTTTTGTGAAATAAAAAAATCAGTGAAGGCGGCACCAACGTCCTTGGCGTGGAGTTTTTGAAATTCACTGATTTTGAAATCACTTAGTGATCCATGTTATCAGTGACTCATTCACATTCACTTTGTACTTCCTCGTTGGGAAGTACAAAGACTCAAGCATTTGGGACATTGCGAGCGAAGGGGTACTGATAAGGACTGACGTCAGAAAAATGCTAATAATGAGAAGGCTTCGAAATGGATGCTGACATACGTTAGACGAGGAGGTGATTATCGCTCGATGGTTTCAGGAGAAAGTGTTGGATCTTTTTTAGGCAAAAAAAAAAAATTCCTACAAAAAGTATTTTGATAATGCCCCCCAAAATCAACAAACCAAACCAACAAAATTTCCCTTTTATTACAGTTTTATCATACGGCGAATGATTTTAATTCCTGGATTAATATCAATTCGTTAATTTTGTTTCCCATTTTGTTGTGATTTTTTCAGTTAAAAGAACAATTGATTTTTTTATTACCTTTTTTTGCCAGAAAATAAAAAAAAATTGAGAAATGGATGGATTGATGATGAACAAAAGTGATTTTCTAGTAAATTAATGGTTTTAAATAAAAGAGTTCAATTCCGATTTACATAAAACATGACCTCTCACTCAATTCTTTCTTTAATATCGTCATTCAAATACAAATTGAAAATGTCAACCTGAAGTTATAATACTCGTACAAGAATATAGTTATATATTAATAGCTGAAGCTTTTTTTTACAATGATCGAAGTCTGATGAATCCTGTTGGATGATTTTTCTCTCCCCCAATTCCCCTGCTTTCTCAATTCATCACTCTTAATTCTCCTTCTAGACTGTTTCGTAGTTCATTTTGATTGCTCTTGCGAGGTATATGGAGAACCAGATTCCCACAGCCTGAAAAACACGATTGAAAAATCATTAAAACCTCCGAGGATATTTCCAAAGTAATAATTTGACTGTTGCATCGATCAACCGAGAGAAAAACCTCACCTGAATAAATGCGATGCCCAGACCAGCTCCACCAAGTTCCACAGCGTGACCCTTGATGAATGATCCAAAAGATTCGAGACATCCTTTTTTATGTAACGTCACCTTCTCATCGACTGTACACGATTTATTTCCTATTTCTCCAGGGAGTGGATCGCAGCAGCTTAAGGGTAGCCCTGTCATGTTAGCCGTGTTTATCCAGTCACTCGGTTGTATCGTCCCGCAGCATTGGAACTGCACACAGAAAAAACGTGTGTTTCAATTCAGACCATACATTCAAAAGATTTCTGGGTAGAAGTTCACGCATGAAAAAATTTAATAGAAAACCTAGCGAATTCGCTAGAAAATTCTATTGGAATTCTGTAGGAATTCTATGGGGTTTCTACAGGATTTCTATTGGAATTCTATTTTGAAAAATTCTACTTGTTTTTTGCGCTGATTCTATTGCATATTTGATAGGAAAAAGTGGTTAAATTGAATAAATGTAACTTAGTCAATTTAATTTTATTATTTTGGCTTCTTGGGGTTCACATACCAACTGCGTCAACGTCGCGAACCCTGGGTAACGCTAAACGCTGGTGTGGCTTGTTAATAAAATACTATATCATGAGTTCTTGAATTTAAGGCCTAGTGTACTATCTTTCAAACGTTATCTCGATGTTTTTTTTTTCTTTCATCATCTGGAATTGTCAATTAAGTCCTGCATCATGCAGAAGTTTTGAAAAATTATGAATGAATAATCAAAAAAAAGGAGAAAAAATTCGTAATTTTTTCAAAGAGCATTTTTAATTTATATTCAGAAAAAGTTGAATAACAAGAAATTGAAAAATGTATCTGATTTACGGTGACAAATGGTGGCCTGTCACCCAATATCATGCAGGGGGAAGACTGATTTCGTAAATCTTTTCCCACACTGCACAGAGACATTTATTACGGAAAAAGCTCTTTGAAAAAAGTTGTAATATTTTGGAGAATTTTTTAATAACACTTTTATCACATAAAAATGGCAGATGACTACATGCCACTGTTTTGAAAATTGAGATACCTAGCTGTCACTTCTCATGAGGAGTTAGTTTTTTGTTATCCACTATGGAAAATGACAGCTAATAGATAATTTGCCACAGCGAATCAGATATTTGTAATTTCCACTTTTTTCAACTCATTCTGAATCTCAATTAAATACGCTCTTTGAAAAAGTTCAGAATTTTTTCTATTTTTTTTATCATTCTATCATAATTTTTGGGAATTTCTACATGATGTACCACTCAATTGACAATTTTGGATTACAAAAGTTAAAAAAAAATCCAGATAACATTCGAAAGATAGTACACCCGGGCCTTAATTGAAATTAAAATTTACAATTTTAAGAATGACATACCTCTTAAAGGGAGGAGTTGGTAGAGAGTTCCCGTACAACTACCTGAGCACCTACAGTTATTACATGAGGTGTCTCAAAGAAATTTAAATTTATATTAGCTGCCTAGGTCACCCACAAATTAAAGTCACGAACCTTTAGTTTCACCGAAAAAGTCGGTATATTTTGAATTTCTCTTCGAATGTTGAAAACAGTTCTGAATTTTAGTGGAATTCAGAGAAAAAAAAGTTCTGAATTGGAGTACCCAGGAGTACAGATTGTTATTGAGTCACGGAAAACCTCTTTTCTCTGTCAATGTTTGGTGAATGTATCAGAATAATTGTTATTTGTATACGTTCAATTACATTTCTCTGGAGGTCGTCCCAAACCCGTGTGATTTCCTGGCTTTCATTAGTACCATAATTCTTCATCGTCGCCAACATCTTGTCTTGGATCAAGTCAGCAGCGTCGTTCCTGAGAACGTAGCCAGAAATTCCAGCAGCGAGTTCCAGAATGAAGATCAAACCCATCAACAAAGCGAACTAAAATCAATATATTGAATATTGGTTAATAAACGACTATTAAAATTCCTGTGGTTCTTCTGTGGTTCCCCACAGAAGTCGTAAAATGCAAGTTCAATGTTTGAGAATGAACACGAGATTCCAAGAAAGAATTCCGGAAGACTTTTTGTATTCACCACTTATTATCGTAATAAATTATGGCTTATGGTATAGAAAAGAATGAGATAAAACGGATCGTCTTTCAGGGGAGACTTCTATGAGTTTTAAAAGTCGTGGGTTATTGGAGTGAGACTTTTCATACGTTGAAGATCGATTATATAGATCTGAAAACGAATAATTAGTGCAAAAAAAAAATTTTTATTGTCCGTTTGCCCGAAAATGCTTAAAATGCCAAAAACAGTCCAGGACCTCCAATTTTTAAGCTACGAATGATTTTTTTTTCAAACTTTTCGGAAAAATATGTGAAATAAAAACATTCAAATTTCATTATTTTTTTTCTCAAGACTGAGATCTGAAAAAAATGTGCAAAAATTCTCAATGATGCAGCATACTCGGACATTTCTCCCATGAATTTTCCCATTTTTTTTCATTGTTTTGACTTTTCAGGCGAGACACCTTAATCAAGTTGAAAAATGGTGAGAACACTCATTTATAAAAAAAATTAATGGTCCACATATTTTACTTTGTTGTCATGTTTTGTTTTTTTTGTAATTATGACTCAATCCCGTCAATCTATTATTAGAATCGATTGTTAATATTTAGTTGCCGTCGCTTTACCGTTACGACCATGCAGTAGTTCTCCCTGACAGCCCCGCAGCAGCCGAAGAAGGCAATGAAAAAGATGATGGAGCCAACGGCGATTAATAAGGAGGGCACTGACAGGAACTTGTTGTCCAGGAAGTGCGGATAGCCACTGTAAACTGCGTGGATCGTCGCACCAATCGACAGGAGAATAATCCCAGTGATCTGAAATCAACCATTTCATTGATCTATTACATTACATAATAATAATCCGATAAAATTTTTAGACTCCAATTCTCAATTTCTGCGATTTATTCTATTCATTCTTAAAAAAGACAAGGATAGAAATCGAATTTATGGGATTCTTTCATTATTCGAAAAACTATCGATTTTTAAACTTTCCGGAGACATTGAAAAATTAATTTTTTTTAGTTCTTCTCGCTTAAGGATAATCGGGCGAGCTGGGAGGGTTGGAAAAAAGCACCCATTTTTTCTTTTTTTTTACGTATTCTTTAAATGATGGGAAAGGCGTGTGCAAAGTTTTAGACTGCTGGAGAGCATGGTTAATTTATTATGAATTTTTGAAAAAGTGGTCATTTAGGTAACCCGCGATCTTATGGAAATCACTAAAAAAACTGCAAAACCCAAGGAAAAAATGCAGCCAAAGTCATGAAACTTTATACACATTTAGAACATGTGCTCAGTGATTTTTTGAGTAAAAAAGATGGTCGCCTAGGAGCATTGTTTATTAATAATAGCGAAAAAAGTACTGAAAAATGAAATTTCTGCGCACGCAGCCCAAACGAGTAGCAAAGTCCCAAGTATCGATCAGGTGGGGGTAGCGCGGTCAATTTAAACGTCTCTTGAGAGAGAACGATGAAGCGTTGTGATTGGAGCTCCCTCGAGCCAGTGGTACCAGCTCTTGGTGAAAAAAAAACTACCGACGATGTTGCCACTTTTTCACATGGATTAAAATTTTTTCATTTATTAAAAAAAAAACAATCTGAAAACCATTCAATGTGTGGAACAGATACAAATAAATTTGATTAGCTCCAAAAATAATTTTTAACCGGAGATACTCCCTAATATTGCCTGAATTTTGAATCCGAATGGGAAATTTTTTTGTTCAGCGATTGGTTTTCTGCAGGAAAACAATAGAAACCCCTCCGCCTCACCTCCTACATTTTCTTCTCGCCCGATTATCTTTAAATATTGATATTCTTCTAATACTTGAAGAAAAAAAAAAGGGATTCGAAGTTGCTACCGCCATCAAAGAAGAAAAATGCATTTTCTAGCCGATTATCCTTTTCTTCATCTTTTTTCATTTTTTTTTTTTCATAGAAATAATTGAAATCTGACCATAGCAATGAGAAGTATCCTTTTACCTCATGGAGGGAAATAATAGATTTAAAAAAATTTCAGGAATACATGGAGAGATACATCTATTATCCGAATGAGATTTCGAATGACTTCTGTTTTGTTTGTTTTGATCACAAAAAAACACGTTCTATTGATCTTTGAGATAATTCTTCTTCATTCAATGTTGTAACTCGTGAATTGCGGAAAAAAAAACATAATAAGCATGAAAATGGATAGAATTAAATTAATCTAACTATGAAGACGGGCATGGAAATAAAATAAAATAGTATAAATTAATCTAACGACGGCGCGAAGCGCGTGTTCGCCAGTAATGATATTATTCAAATCTATAATTAATATAATTCACATGTCCAATTATTTATGCCCAAAAAGAAATTGAGGTAATTATCGGAAAAGTTGTTTTTTCAAATGAATATTTGATGAATTGAAAAAATATTGTTTAGAACAAATTTATCAACATTTAATAGTCCTTTATTTGCATCAAATAAATGATTTATTAATTATTTAATATTGTTGAAAGAATGGAAACATTTGAAGTAAAGACTTTTCTTTGGTTCCCTACATGAAAAATACGACATTTCTTCAACGATTGATAGCGATAATTAATGATAACCATTTATTATATTCGAGCTGAAATGATTTGGTATTTGGATTGTGTCAGTAATCAGTAATGCCAGGGGAAAATATCAACAAATTTTTATTTTCATAAAACCGTTAATGAGACAATTAACGAAGCACGAAAGATAAATCATGTTATTGTTGATAAAGTGATTATTTGGTTAACGTGACTTCAAGCCGAAAATATCGGAAAGATATTCACCCGAAGAAGTTCAGAAGTAAAACGAAACGCATGGATTTAATTTCTTTGTTGACGGTAATTCGGACGCACTGATGAAAAAAGTTTAGAAGAAACTTAGCGAATTCGGTAGACAATTCTATTGGATTTCTATTGAACTTTCTATTAGTTTTTGGCCGATTCTATTAAAATGTTCAATAGAAAATGTTCTATAGAAAAAGTCAAAAGAATTAGATTTTTCTATACAACTTATTCCATCGAGATATTTTCTAAAAAATTTCCTTGGCTCAAATTTTCCAACTTTTTTTGTTTGATTTTCTTGATAAGAAGAAAAGAAAAAATGGAATGAAGAAAGCTTAAAAAATTGGAGCCGAGGAAATTCTATAGCAAATATGTGAAGAGAATAAGTTATATAGAAAAATCGAATTCTATTGACGTTTCTATTGAATATTTTCTATTGAACACTTCAATAGAATCGGCCAAAAACTAATAGAAAGTTCAATAGAAATCCAGTAGAATTTTCTGACGAATTCGCTAGGTTTTTATTCTATAAAATTTTTTCGTACGTGCGAAGAAAAAAATACCAGGAGAATTATCGTGTTTGCGGAGTAGAATGGTTTCAATTTGATGGCCACCAAGAAATTCGAGTGTCAGCACTAATTCAAAAGCAATTTTCAAATTTTCGAAAAACAGTCGACAAAAATTTACAGAAAAATCTAGCAAATTCTTTAGATTATTTTTATCACTCGGATTTCAGCCAATCGGAGCGCAGTATTTGAGGCTGTCAAACAGTTTTATTTCAGAAATTTCTAAAAAAATTCCGACGGAAATTCACTAGTAGCTTTTCAAATGTTTCTCATTTTTCAACGTATTTCACGTTTAATATTCTGTATGACAGATAAACAAAAAAGTGGGTTGTAAATGTATGGCTGAGTAAATCTATCCGGATGCTGTTCACTGCACTCTGCTTGGCCGAAATCCGAGTGGAAAAATAATCCGTCAAATACTACTCGTGAAAATTGATAATGATAATTTTCTCCGTGCTGGACACGTTTCATTACATCGCCCCAGAATTGTCAATAATTTTTCTTTATTAGATCTAAGCTTCTGCTGCAATTGTTTCGTTACACTGAACCACCTGCCCACACTGTTTTCTCCACTCGTGTTATGTCATTCATCAGCATGTGAAGGGTTTTACAGCCTTGGAAAAACTATCGACACGACTATTTTCTGCTTTGGGAATTATTTTAATTTTCCATCATTTAATTACCATTTTCTTTATTTTAGAAAAATTATCAAAAAAATCCAAATTTATTCGAAAAATTTTTTTCATTTGTAAAAGCAAAATGTCATTTTTTCAAATGAGTCGTTTTCGAAAATAAATAATGTTAAAAACATTAATCCAATAATGTTATTTTTTTCATTTCCACTTATTTTTTCGTATTGGTATTTTAAATAATAGAATTTTTCGAGTGCGAAAATTGTTTAAATATTTTTAAAGGTAAAAAAATGAGGAAAACTGCGATTTTGTAACTAAATAAGTTGAATTTGAGAGAAGATCCAGACGTTTAGCCTTAGTTGTTACAAAATTTTCTTCAAAATTCTCAAGAACNAAAATTGATAATGATAATTTTCTCCGTGTTGGACACGTTTCATTACATCGCCCCAGAATTGTCAATAATTTTTCTTTATTAGATCTAAGCTTCTGCTGCAATTGTTTCGTTACACTGAACCACCTGCCCACACTGTTTTCTCCACTCGTGTTATGTCATTCATCAGCATGTGAAGGGTTTTACAGCCTTGGAAAAACTATCGACACGACTATTTTCTGCTTTGGGAATTATTTTAATTTTCCATCATTTAATTACCATTTTCTTTATTTTAGAAAAATTATCAAAAAAATCCAAATTTATTCGAAAAATTTTTTTCATTTGTAAAAGCAAAATGTCATTTTTTCAAATGAGTCGTTTTCGAAAATAAATAATGTTAAAAACATTAATCCAATAATGTTATTTTTTTCATTTCCACTTATTTTTTCGTATTGGTATTTTAAATAATAGAATTTTTCGAGTGCGAAAATTGTTTAAATATTTTTAAAGGTAAAAAAATGAGGAAAACTGCGATTTTGTAACTAAATAAGTTGAATTTGAGAGAAGATCCAGACGTTTAGCCTTAGTTGTTACAAAATTTTCTTCAAAATTCTCAAGAACATCAAAATTAATCCAAAAAAATTTTTATTTGTAACGGCAAAATGTAATTTTTTAAATCCATTCCTCCGTTTGCAAAAATAATTTTTTTTTTTCCAATAATTTTTTTTTTTCATTTCAACTTATTTTTTCATATTTGTATATTAAATAATTAAAATTTTCGAATGTGAAAATTAATTAAATATTGTTGAAGGTAAAAAAATTATGAAAAATGTGATTTTGTAAATAAATTAGTTGAACTTGAGAAAAAATCCAGACGTTTAGCCTTAGTAGTTAAAAAATTCATCTGTTCGGCATACGCTGCGGTGTCCGAGCGGTTAAGGAGATGGACTTGAAATCCATTGGGTTCTACCCGCACAGGTTCGAATCCTGTCCGCAGCGATTTTTTTTCACTCGTTATTTTCATTTATCAGTGACTTTTCATCATTTACCTTCATTTGTCAATGATAATCATTCGTTATATCGGTGGTTCGATAGATTTTACGAAGAAATAAGTAAATGATATCGAGGTATCTGTGAACAATATCAATGGAAACCGATGTGATGAGTCACACGTGGAACTGTTCAACTTCCATTCTCAACTCGAATTCTAAATTTTGGGGGATAATTTTTTTTCTCATGAATTAATATTCGTCTTGAATTCTCCCTACCCAAATTAATTATTGGAAATGTAAAAAATGCATAAAAAAAATAGTGGGTGACACGAAATGTTCTTGCGGGTCATCGAATCGTTCTTGTGTTTAATTTTTTTTTCAATTACAATTTTTTTTCCGAATAATTTTTTAAGCTGAACAATTCAATGAATTGATTTTAAATCGAATTTTAAAAAATATGAACAAATCAATAGAACGCTTTTAATAATTTTTTTCAAGGTTTTTCCCTTTCCCTCTTTTGAATAATTAAAAACATTCAAAAAGCGAGATTTTTTTCATTTCAGAGACCCCAACAGTTTCATGAGATTGCGCAATACACCGTCGCTCAACTTTCATATTACAGTCAGATGTAATTCAAATAAATCGAACCAATAAATCGTGATATTTCCGAGTTATCTGCGCAGTAAAAAACAAGTTAACTGGCGAACAAAAAAGTGAGAAAAATCATGAGAGCACTTTTGAGAGTTGATGAAAAAACAATTTATGTTATTATTTACCACAAAGAAGAGATTAAAGATGAACATAAGGTACTTTATGCAGCGCGAGCCCATCGGGAGGCTCATATCGGCGACCATTTTTGCGGTTTTAAATTTCCGAAATGATTTTAAAAAAACTAGAAACTTGTGTTATCACTGATAAATATCCGCGCGATATTTTCTGTACTTTTTTTTTATTGTCACTATCACAAGGTGTTAACGTGGCCAAGGGCTTGGCGTTACTTCTGCTCTTCTAACAGAAGTGTGACGTATTTCAGTCGTTTTGGTATAATCTTATCAGGAACGTTCGAGTTCTCGAACCGCCAACTGTGACTACGTCCTCCGGAGTTTCGGTGAAAAATACAATCGAGGGAGATGGATAGAGAGAGAGAGAGACAGAGATTTTACCCATGTGGCTCGGGCCTGCGTTGTTGGGGATTGCGCATGACTGGAGAATCGGGCAGGTGCGGATGCGTTACATATTTCGCCATGATCCACTAATTATTTCTGCTAATTATCGAGCGATGATTCAATGATGGTAAAATCGTCATTTGAGTAAATCATCGGTTAGGCAATGAGGGAGTTTGGGGTAAAGGGAGATCTTTTTTGTATGAGAAAATACCAGACAAAAAGGTTCTTTGAGGATATCCAAGTATCTTTTTGTCATTCCGGCCGTGAGGCAGCGCTTCACGGACGCTCCGCTCCGCGTCCGTGAATCTCTGCCTACGGCCGTCATAACAAAAAATACTGTTCGTCATACGGTCAAAAAAAACTTTTCTAGCTCATATGATTGCAGCCCTCGCCTTCGGCTCGGGCTACAAACTCATATTCGCCAGAAAAGTTTCTTTCGGCCTAGTGACGAAATATACTATTTTGTTATTTTGTTAGCTCCGCGTCCGTGAAGCGCTGCCTCACGGCCGGAATGACAAAAAATACTGTTCGTCATACGGCCAAAATAGTATATTTCGTCACTAGGCCGAAAAAAACTTTTTTGTCATTCCGGCCGTGAGGCAGCGCTTCACGGACGCGGAGCGCTGAGCGCTCAGCGCTCCGCGTCCGTGAAGCGCTGCCTCACGGCCGGAATGACAAAAAATACTGTTCGTCATACGGCCAAAATAGTATATTTCGTCACTAGGCCGAAAGAAACTTTTCTGGCGAATATGAGTTTGTAGCCCGAGCCGAAGGCGAGGGCTGCAATCATATGAGCTAGAAAAGTTTTTTTTGACCGTATGACGAACAGTATTTTTTTTTATGACGCTGAGCGCTGAGCGCTCAGCGCTCCGCGTCCGTGAAGCGCTGCCTCACGGCCGGAATGACAAAAAAGTTTTTTTCGGCCTAGTGACGAAATATACTATTTACAGTTTGGTACAGACTAGAGATGCAAATGCGTCACATGACCCGTCATATGACGGTCATGTGACCGCCATTGACTGTCACATGACGAGGCGTTCATGACGGTTGTCACATTCCCCTCCCCCTTCTGTGACCGTCACAACTTGTCAAGGAAAAATGACAGTCATTTTTCATCTATATAGATGAAACTTAATTTTTTTCCCTGTCAATTTCCAGTTGAATTCCTTTTGTATTGGCCTAATCCGCATTTTAAAATGGAAATCACCTTTTTTTTTCATCCATATAGATGAAACTATTTTGTTTTATTCATGACCGTCACAAATTGGAAATTAGTTAAAAACCGTAATTATGCAACTATATAGATGGTTTGACAACAATTTGGTTACAAATGATTTGTGACAATCATTTGTAGTTGAAAAATTTGTGCGTCACAAGACCGTCATTTTTTAATCCACGAAATTCAGCATCGAAGCGATAAAACGGTTCAAGTCGACTTAGCTCTTAGCTGAGTTTTCGAGAAATATCTCCAAATCTGAGGGAAATGACGAAATTGTCGTAATAACCTTTTTTGTAGAGCGAATTGAGGGCTATAAAAACGGTCATAACAAAAATTTTTCTATTTCCCTTAGATTTCGAGATACTCATTAAAAACTGGCCAATCCGTCAAAATTGACTTGAACCGTTTAGTCTTCGCGACTGAAATCTTTCTTTAATTATTTTTTTAAACAACAGTCTCTTGTTTGACTAGGGTGTTTCGATCTAACCCGCCACTTCGGGCGCGCAAAAACAAATTATTTACATCAGAGGATTCGTATAAGATACCTCTCTATAAGATACCTCGCGCTCCGAGCGCTCGAGACCTACCCCCACTCTCGGCACTTTTATCGCCTCGCGAATGTTTATGTTCCGTGGGCTTCTTATAAGATACCTATGGCCGCGGTCATTTTTCCATGTGAAGAGAGTAGTTATAAGGATCAAACGGTGTTAACCCTAGTCTGGTCACCTGACGGGAAAATGCGACTTTAGTCACCTTCGCGGGAGAGTGCCGCCGTGTTATTTAGGCTCCAGCGTTGCCGAATCCACTCTACACTTCCCGGACGCGTTTACCGAGTTCCCAGCAACGTCGCGCAACAGACAATTTCATTTAACACGGGGAAAAATTGTTCACCTGTTGGAAATAATTTTTTTTCTCCCAGAATTAAGGATACAATATTGAAAAAAAAATACTAGAATTTTCCAGATACTTCAATTGACGAATTCAATTTTTCTCAAATTTTTCCGGTCAACCAGTCGATGGCAAGGTAAATAAAACGACGTGTTGCGGCAATTCCCTCGCATGGTGACCAGTCCAGGGTTAAGGGTCAAACGGGAGGGACGAACGACGTGATCATGAGGGTCTAATGACCTTAAGAGGGGGTCACACCACTTTTTGTAACAAATGGAAATATACATCGATTTTTGTTTCATTTCTCCCATTAAAAAATTGTAATTTTTCGTTTGTGATTATTCTCGAGTCCACCAACAATCCCCCAACATCAGCTGCCGTTCTATCACACGGGGTTATGTTTGGAGAAAAAAGGGAATGCGGGCGATACAAATTCAAAACATTAAACACATATAAATTGATTAGTTATCGATATTCATTCAGTAAAAATGAAAATTTCATTGAATTCGGGTGCAGCAAGCGAGGTATCTTATTTGAAACCCGCTGGTCCCTATTTTTCTCCTCTATGGGCGCGCGTAGTGGGGGCACAGGGGTTCCCGGAATTCCACTCTTCTACTGTCCCTAAGGTATCTTATACAAAGCCTCTACTGTATCACAATAGTTTGGCGCTGAACATAATTTTCACATTGGACATAGAATTCTTATTCATTTTTTCTGATTTTTTGACATTTCTTCTAGATTATAATCTTTTCCCTAATCTCGAAAAGTGCATTTTCTCATAAAACTGTGTTATTTTTCCACTTCTGCATTAATTATTATTAACAATACTGTCGATTGAGTACAAACTTAACCAAAATGTTTCCATTCATATTAACTTTTGTTTAGAATTTATTTCAGATTTTAATCTTCAATATTCAAGCCCTGTTTATAGTACTCCGATGGTATCGTTATCGATATTATTATTATTTGATGGTACTCATTATCGAGATAATTTAGCTATCAGCAGTTGATAATTCTCCCTAAATTTCCATTCCTATAATTAGTTTATTTTCCCGGAAACGAAGATACGCTTAAGAGGAAATGTAAAAATAAATTCTTTGTAGCTGAGGAAATTGTGTTCGAAAATTTCTAACAGTTTATCTATTGATTTTTCTCTTTTGACGATTTAAAAAAAAAAAATTTCTATTGAACATTTATAGGAAGGAAGAGGCGTAGAAAAACTGTGGAATTTTTTAATAGAAATTACGAAAAAGGCATAAAATATTTATAGAGAAAGTCGTAAATTTTTCGATGAAATTTTTTCGTATCTGAATACTTTCCGGGATAGTTAAATAATAATCTGAAGGATACTTGCATCGATGTAAAAATTAACTGTTTTGTTAATCATCCAATCATTTTAGGGAACCATAAAAGAGCCTTTTTTATAAGCAAAGAAATCTTTCACAAAAGAAGGTTCTCTACACTCAGAGAAAGACGACAATGTTCTCAAACAAGTCTTACTTGTGCCAAGAAAATAATTTTTTGAAAATTATCAAAACAGGAATTTTTTATGCCAAACATGCAGAGCGTGCGCCGGAATGAAAAATTTTTGTCGCAAAAATAGATTTAGTAGTTCAAAAAAAATTGTATTCTCTGTACACGCAAATGTCATTTCCAGCACTACTCTTTCGTTATTCGATACCCCCATACGTATTTTGCTCCCGAAAAATCTTTGGTCTATGTGAAACAAGGGATAGTAGTTTTTCGTTTCGACTGTCTAATAATCACAAACAAGAAATGAACCCTTAAATGAAACAATAATGATGATATGATAGCAATCTTGTAACTTAGGGATAAAATATTTGTTGATAAATTTTCCTCTATATGAGATATTTTTACCCTGAAAAGGCACCGTCTGGTGTGAATTAACCGTCTCTTGAGTCAAATATTTAGTTGCTGTCGAAGGCAGAACAATTATTAATGTTTGAGACTTTCAAATTCGAACCAAACAAATTCCTTTTTGGCAATTTTCAACTAGCGATTTTGTTGGCCCAAACAAGACTTATTTGACAACGTGTTTGTTTTTTTCTCAGTGTAGTGATATCTTTTTTCTTAACAATTTTTTATTCAACTATACAAAATATTTATATACAACATTTACAGATAAAAACCGAGACGATTCAAAATTGTGGTAGTTAACAGTCTTTCGCCTTACTAAACATTGGTTATTTGGTAACTCTCAAGTTCATGAAATATTATTTTTGTCTATTGGATTTTTTTCGGATTCCAAGCAGAGATCGGCAGGGAAATAATCTCCATCATTAATATTCCATTACCATATCAATGGTCAATGAAAAAAACCGAATAGATGTTTTTTTTCGTAATGAATATTACGAAATGTAATTTTCATACGATACTAACGAGAAATGAAATAATAACGAGATTCGTTTTCTTTATTATTTCAATGGAAAATGAAAAACAGAAAATTCTGATTTCTTTCGTCATGAATAATGAAATCAAATTAATTTTTCATTATCGTAGTAATGGATAAAAATCCATTCAGGTTGCCCTCCCCGATTTGATTATTGCCTCAATGACTACTCTAAAATATTCAAGAGTATTTCCTGATGAGATAAATAACAGTGTTTTATTGTTAATTATAACTCATTGACCTCCGAGAGAAATGAAATAATAACGAGAATAAAAAAAATCTTTGGTTTATACGAAAATTTTTATATGTTTATTATGTCATAAGAGTCAAATCAAGGGTCACGTGCATTGAATTAAGGGTCACGAGGGTCAGATTAAGGGTCACAAGGGTCAGACTAAGGATTACGGGGGCATGGTCCCCTAATATA